TTAAACTAAAAACGGGTTATTGAAAGGGCAGGATTTAAGCCTATAAGTTCATTAAATTCCAATAAAAACAACCATTCTACAGACCTACTGCCAAGAAAAGCGAAATAAAAACTCAAAACCAATATTAAATGGTTTTTTTTAAAGGTTATGTTGTAATTTTACGTGTTACACATATTGCCTGATTTGTAAAATCTACAATCAGGCATTATGTGTAAAAAAAAGGGTAGGAATTTTAGTCATTTCGAGTAATGTCTGGAATTTTCAGTCATTACACGTATTGCCTTGTGCTCACAGGCTCTTCGCGAAATGACTGATTCGTTTAGTCATTACGCGAAATAACTGATTACACAGATTGACTGTAACATATACACACTCACACACCCACACACACACATACCCACACCCACACACCCACACACACACACACCCACACACACACACACACATACACACACACACATAAATTAAATTAAATAAACACATAATAAAAATGTTATTTGCAGAATGTTGTTTGAAATAGATATGCTTTTAAAGTCTTCTTAAAACTTTCCAAAGAAGGACACTCTTTTAGATTTCGCGGTATCATTATGATTATCATCAATATCATGTAATGTTATCATCATCATGTAATGTTATTATTATCATTAAATGTTATTATCATTTAATTTTATCATTATCATTTAATTTTATCATTATCATTTTATTTTATCCTTTAATTTTATCATTATCATTTAATTTTATCATTATCATTATCATTAATTAATTTTTCATTATATAATTTAATGTTTACAAAATCATTTACCATTTAATGTTTTCGTTATCATTTGATGTTATCATTATCATTTAATGTTATCATTAGCATTTAATGTTATCATTATCATTTAATGTTATCATTATCATTTATGTTATTATTATTATCATTTAATGTTATCACTATCATTTAATGTTATCATTAACATTAATTAATATTTTCATTAACATTTAAACATACATTATGCAAGAGCTAAATCTGCCTATTGCAGGTCTTACTTTAGGCATGAAGTGTGTTCTAAATTATTAATTAGACATTAATTAACTTATCCGTACCATAATCAACACTTGATCGCATCGGATTTCTCCGATATTAAATAGATTAGAACAGTTCAGCCATATTTTGATTTAAGCTAAAAATGGAGGAGCGAGACTTAGCTTCGAACAACCAGTATGGTGGTTGAAATTTTTGCACACCTCTTGTCAAACCTCCAAAGGCTAATATCTTCGCTCCCAATAGAGTTATTTGAATGGAATTTTCAAATTATTCATTTTACATTATTTATGTTCGAACTATTATAGCAAGAATGGCTAGCCCTTTATCTAAATCTTATATAATGTATCTTTAATGTTTTCATAATCTTCTATCATTTTATATTTTCATTATCATTTATCATTGAATGTTTTCATATTCATTGAATGTTTTCATAAACATTGAATGTTTTCATGATAATTTAATGTTTTCATAATTATTTATCATTTAATGTTTTCGATTTTATTTAATGGTTTTCACAACCATTTAATGCTTTCATAAACATTTAATATTTTCATAAATATTAAAGACATATTACATGCTACATTATGAGTAAATGATACAGTATGAAGCAAGCAATGACACATCATCTTGGTGGTAACATGTGACCTACCTTTAATAATACCAGTAAGGTTATAGATGGAGAAACATTGTCTACAGTAGGTGGGGTAGTTGATGCTGACCAATTCGACAACATAATGTGCCATAGGATCTCCATTACATGTACAAGTTATACACGTCAACTGTTTCATCTGATTCTCACTCTCGTGTAGATTATCCACAGAGAACGCATCCTGTATCTTAGGTTGAACACACTGAAATAGGTAGCAAGAATGGTTCAGAATAAAGACATGAACTCTTCAAGGTTCTTGCTATAATAGTTCAAAAATAGATAAAGAAAAATGAATATTTATTGAAATTTATTCAGATCGTTTATTATCGTAGCAATGGTACTTCACTTCTGATACTAAATCTTCATAATACATATAATGCTAAATGTTTAAATCTTGCGGGTGTTCAAATCCTTTTAACTCTTGGCCACCCGATGCTTTAGGGGGTTGATTATGGGCTTGCCATGTAAATAAATGTCTAAAAAATAATTCATATAACATTTGATGCCAAAGAAAGACCTGCAATAGGCAGCTTTAGCTCTTACAAAATGCATCTTTAATTAAGATTAAAAGTGATCATATGAATTAGATTAAAGGAGCTAAGTCTCCTTGATTTAGGTCCGTATAAAAATACTCAGTTGGGTTAATCTGAATGGAAAAAATGATTGGTTATATATCCCAGCCCCGGCTTTACATGTGGACTTTAAATTGGAACGATAACAGATTGTCATCCGGAAAAATCAATCGTATGAAATCGAGATAAACACCTTATCATTTTTTTTATTAAAGACTTCACAGCAGGCCAATTTTTAACTATAACCGACTTTCGTTTTAATATGTGACAGGTTAAACTAACAACAAATTTAAAGACGTATAGACAGACGGGTTTCTCTACTAACTTCAAAATGTCTCGATTGAGTTGTGTGGAGCTTACCAGATCAATAATCGAATTAACATACCAAGTCCGCACTGGCATAGCCTGGTCCGTAATATACATTACCAACATAACGCATAGTAATCGGATATCTGAACTTAAAGAGTGTTTGTTCATAGTCTTAAAAATAAAAGGCGGAGTACGTATGAAATTTAAGCGCCAAAATATGGAGGAATTTTGTATTTACCTTGTCTGAAAATCCTAGCTCAAAATACTGAGTCGTTTGGACGTGAACGTAAAAACTGCTTATCCGGACACGTAACCCGTTTAAGATTCCGGGTCAATTTTTTCGTTGGGTGACCTGATAATCGATCCCCGTTCCTTAAGGTAAATTTCACCTACATATTATTTTTATAAAATAAAAGTCTAGTTTTATCCAGACACCGCATAATGCAGCTTGGGACACCGGTTCCATCTCCAGATGAAGACTGGCAGGTCCTTAGGTAGGGGATTTTAAGAGATTTTTACACAAAATTAAGTAGTTTTATTCTCCCAAAACTTATCGGGATTAGCTCTTTAATGAATCAATAATGGTAATCCCTTCCTAAAAAAGTAACAGAAAGTTTTCGTTTCCCTAAAAGTCAGTGGTTGACTCTCATAGAGAAATCTAAAGATAAAAAATAAAATAAATAGCTTTTGTTATATCCTTAGGTATCAATTTATAATGACTATAAAATGGCAGACCATCATGGTAGAGTCTATTTTTTTACATTTTAATTATAAATTAATTACTTACACATTGAGGATTAACGCCAGACAAATTCAACCAGAACAACATTAACCAGAGAAATGAAATCTTCATGTTTAAAAAATAAAAGTACTCCGTTTCATTTACGTTAATTTACATCTTCGTTAATAACCTTCATACATCTCGCCATTTTGAAATGTTGATACTTGACGTCAGAATATAGCTTGAAGGGAAGTAAAACTTATGCTTTGTTGTGCAGTTTAAAAGAAAACTGCATAGATCTGAATTGTTATGGCTTGCCTTAGTAACACCAATAGGCCTCTTTATACAATGGTAATTTAATTTATACAATATTAATACGGGGGCATTTATACAATAATGCTTTAGTAACACCAATAGACCGCTTTATACAGAGGTAATTTAATTTACGTAATAATAATACGGGGACATTTATGCAATACTGTGTCTGAATAAACTTCCAAATGTTGTTGCTTGCTTTATAGTTAAGCTAAAGGGAGAGGGGGGGGGGTCGCGACAATTACACAGTGATATTTAAGAGTAGTTCATCAATATTATCCCGTTAGCTTGTTTTGGTAGGCCTATATTATATATTGAACTATGTACTTTAAAGGAAATGAAATGAAACTGAAATGAAATGAGGTTTAATTAACGTCCCCCTGTTCTGCTCTGATTTTGTAAATGAAGACGAACATACGCCATAAGTGTCATATGAAGGAAATTTTGCCCGGACAGCGGAGCTACGGCTTACTCTTATATCAATCTTTTATGTGCACGCCAATGTGTACACAGAACCCCTGTCTTTCGTTCCATACGAACGACTATACGCTGTCCCTTGCCAGGCCCCCTGTTCTGCATCACTGACAAGTGGGAACCCTTGTCAGTTATTCCCGATGAACTCTTACGGCCAACTCGGGGATAGAACATTGGAACACCGCTATGTGGCATGAAAAGACGTCTCCAAAACAAAACATCCCCCCCAAAAAGTCAATGCGGAAGTAATTACAAATGGCTCGCGTATAGATATTACAATAAAGATTTAAAGGAGCTAAATCTCTATTCTTTGGCACTTAGAAATGGACTCAAATGGGTCGCAACGCATATAATAATGTAATATGAATGTATATAAACTGATTTTCATTCAAACGTTTCTGTTTTTACTGTAATTTTTGATCTGTTATGTTCGGCGAAATATGAGAAGAGATCAAATTGAATGGCGGTCTGGTTATTTCAGTCTACACCGGTAGTTTTTCATGTAGGGTATGTTTAGCCTCATTCATCGAGTCGCGTCATTACAAATGGCGCTCGAATAAATTCTGGCACGCGATTTCAGATTTCCATCTTGTCCAAACCTTAAAGTGGCATCGTTTAAATTTCCATTTGCTCTATTTGAATTTTGTCACCTATAAGAAGCACCAAGACGGAATAATTTGTAGTCATTAATACATCTTAATCATAATATTTCTAAAAGTCTACGTATCTTAAATGCATCCCCATCAAACAGTATCGTGTCCTTAGCTCCAGATGACTTACTGTAATAATCATGACGTTTTGGTTGTGAAACTGATATAAGATACTTGAGTTTACAAACCCTATATTTTGGGACTTGTTAAAGACTTTATGCTGCAAATTCTTACCCCATGCAAATATTGAACATGATTTGTTTTATAAATACTAACAAAAATATGTCTACATAACTAGTTTATTTGGCACAATGAATAATACAAACATAATTACATGCTATAAATACATGACACGAATGAGCATCAATGAACTTTATTTAAAAGTTATTTAAATAAGACCCTGTAACAATTGCGAGCGTGATAAAAGTATTAAAGAATTATAAAATTTATAAATTTGGAATAGTAAAAATATGCAATAAAATAATTAATTTTGTGCATAACGACAGTAAAGATTTAAACAAAATAAGGTGATAAGATTAAATGATACACTTCGATAATTTGAGGTAGAAAGAGAAGATAATGATCATATAAAAATAAAACACAATATACTTATTGTATATAATGTACATTACGTAATGAAACAGATAATGTCATAAATGCCTACAAGTGACATACAAATATTAAAACATTTGATATAATCGAAACATTAAAGGGGAACTTCAGCTCTTCCGAACTTTTTAAATTATGTTATTTTAAAAAAAATGATCTTGTATTAAGATAGGTTTAGCAATTCACAATCCAAAGTACAGTCATTGGTTATGTCGGTATGTGCAGAAATAAACAAACCGACAGTGCGTACTAATTACGTTTTTCTTCTCCGGTTGAATCTGACTACACAAAACTGAATATTTTAATACTAGATATCGAATAAAATATGAAACTGTGTAACACTGAAGTTTTATTTTACTCTTCACTCTTCAACATGTTAGATGATCAACAAAAAGTGAGCTATACGTTTTATTTAACTGGAAATTTAGAAAAACCTTTAATCGATATGATTATCAATTTTTAGCATGTTCATAAGGAAAACGATGGTGCAGAATTAATAACAACTTAATTATTTAATCATTAAATATATATAACGATACTTAAAATGGCTTATACAAACCATTTTTGAATTAAATGCAGGAGTAAAAATATCTGAAAGGGAGTAGAAGTATTAAAACTATATATAAAAAAAGTAAATGCTGTTGAAACTAAAAAAAAGGAAACCAGGAATATTTTTTTAATGTCATCAAAGTGAATTTGTTTTTGCTAAATTTTCTATTGTGTTTCTATTTTTGTTAAATCTATTATTTTTATAATGGATATTGATAAGGCTGTGGCCGGCTGTTCCTGAGGTTCACATTCTTGTTACTTTTGTTGTTAAAATCTGAAAAAAAAGAATAAGACAGAGGTGGTGATACGGGTCCCTGTCTGCTGATAAACGTGAACAAGGTGCTCATTTTGTTTATGGAAGATTTAATCGAAGATTTAGTCCCTATACAGACGCCGAGGTACTAGATGATGCTCTTATGCAAAGTTGAAACGGTGTTAGGTAGCACATTTGACACTGACGTGACCAAGGACAATAAGAGTAAAAAGTGACACTCTGATCTCGGGTCCAACAGTAATCCAACAGCAAAAGGATAATCAAATATATGCGGATGCCATTGATGTGTTGACTCGGGAAAGCAACTAAGAAATGAACTTGTTTCCAGGTTACAATATATTGATGGAAACTAACCGTTTTTAAAGAAGTCATCATGTCCTCTTGGTTCAGTGAAATTATATTTTCTGAAAAAATAATATATGAAATTAATGTGGTTTAACGACCTACTGTTCTGCTACGACGAAAAGTAATAAAGATACAATATATCAAGGAATGGCTAATAAAGATGCTGATACGCCATACATCGTGCTATGAGTAATGTCAATATGGAATCCTCGTTCACAATTTAGACAATTTTCAACACTAATAAGCAACATGTGCGAAAGCATGCTTTCAACCGACCGTTTCTTTAATTGGATACACTAATGCATATACAAGGCAGAGTATGTTTACCCTTTCGAAATGCCTGATATTATCTTCCTACGGGAACTCTATTTTCTCTAGAAAGTTCACTGAGTGAAGTCCACCTTGCACAAATTTGAATTGATGGACTTTTATTCTGATTGCTCTTTAAGGAAGACGGCACTATATTAAATATTGATAGCAAACATTGATAGCAAACTATAATCAACCAAAGTAATCGTAATCGCCTTTACTAACTAACCTGGGACAGCAACGCTCACTGCAGCTGTTAAATGCATTTGAAATTCTATAATGAGCGTCAGGGAAGTATTTAGGAAGACAGAATCTATACAAAAGGTAAAGTAGTCCAGCTAGGAGAACCAAAGCTAAGATAATTCCCAAAACTACTGCTGCTGTGGAGTCAGTGGCATCTCCAGTTGTTGTTGATGATGCCGAGGCAGAAGCACCACTGTTGGAACTTCCACCACTGTTGGTGTTAATATTTGAGGAACTCTGTTGATTTATGTTGATGCTTCCACTAGATCCACCAGTTCCGGCCGTTCCTGATCCACCAGAGCTAGGAGCTGCAGTTGTGGGTATAGGTGCGAGTGTGGGTGCTGGTGTAGGACAAGGTTTGCCTGCAATATTCATCCATAACTCACATTTAATTAAATGATATTTTATGGGCATGTTGAACCCCCAAGAATCCATACGGGCGAATGGAACGATTGTCCATTGCACTAGGGGTCATGGTTCAAGCATTTCCAATGGGAAGTACAGATCTATCAGTTATGAACTCGATGTAACCGTTTTAAAGAGACATAAGGGTCTAAAATATTTGTATCATACGGACGGTAAACCCAATTTGTTTTATACCTTACCCCTATATTGTATCTCAACTCACCAATTAAAGTAATGGTAACAGGAACGATGCTGGTCAATGAACCAGGATTGGTACCATGATCTTTAGCATAGGCCTGTACAATATAAGACTCTCCTGCTTTAATATTCCTGAAATATAAATAAATATCAATAAATGTTAAAATACCTATTTAAATTAGGTAAAAATTGAAAATTGCCTATTTTATAATTGTATCGGTAATTGCAACCCTTTATGAACAAAAACATATAAACGAACTCTTTGATTACACTGTAAATAAAAACGCCATCTTTACTTACGTTGTCATGTAAACAGTCCCATCAGGTGTCACAGTAAGAGGACCGGAAGTGACGGGAATGATTGAAATATCGGCATTACCATTCTGTGAGGAGTCAGAATCAAAGAACTCTAGCTTTATATCAAGTTGCTGAGGTAGATCACATGCTGTAGCTGTTCTAGTGAAGGACTTTACCATAAACTCAGGAGCATGATTGTTGATATCCTGTATTAGTAACTTGACAAGAATCCTGAACGGAAAAAGATGTATGATTAACTATAAACATGATCTCATTATGCATCAACGCGAATAATATTTTAATTAAAATTGCATACCGCAAACTTAAGTAATCACAACGACGTTATAACTAAGCTGCTTAATGACAAATATACTTATACTTTTCAAACAACAAGATACCTTTTTATTGAAATAACACAAACACAGCTTTATGGATAACAGTCACTAGCAACGTTTCAACAAGTATCCTCTTACCGTTATCAAGTACAAGGTAAATGATAATATGACTGCTTGGAGTACTTTTTAATGCAGGATTCAAAGTTTATCCTTGCAGTCGAAAGATTTAATCTCTAAGGATTGATCAATATGCATTTTTGGAGATCATCAGTATTGAACTGAAAACGGTTACTTACTTGTTAGATTCAGCTGAATTCTTTTCATCAGTAACAACAACTTGAAAACTGACTTCCATTTCTCTTATTTTATCAATAATTACACCTGTAGGATGTGATATAGCTCCAGTGAAAGGATCAATGTTATACCCCCCAGTTCGGTCTCTAAAGAAACTGAAAGTATGACGGTCATTGAAGTCTCCATCAGTGATTATATAGTTCGGTTGGGCGAAAACCTTGAAAAATATCAAACATGAGTATAATTTTAAACATTTTTATTAACATTCATAGCCTGTAATAACTTTGACAAATCTTTTAGACGCACGAAAGACTAAAATCATCTTTTAATTCCTTTTTACAATTTTTATTTTGTTTATTTTATTTCATTCGCCAATAATTGCTAAATAATTGTTATTGATTTTCTTTTTAAACAAAATTGTTTGAATATATCTGTAACAAGCTATTATGATTGCAGGGATGACAAAGCTAAAGGTCCGTGAATATTCCGATGCGTGGCAACGCATGTTTCTATTAGATCAGCTGTATTGAAAATACCCACCTGTCCTTCATCAACCTTTAAACTTTGTTCTGCTGGACCGAGAACAGGTTTATCATTCTCATCACCGATTCTAATCAGTATATAATATTTAGATTGACAGTTGTCATTACTGAAGGTAAACGTGATGTTGATTCTTGGAAATGTCTCGAAATCCATTTCTTGGGAAGTTCTCAATGCTATAAATACAAACAAATATAACATTAAACAAAACTTTATATGCCTTAAAGTTAAGCATGACATGTCTCCGCGTGTCAGTCGTCCATAATTAAGTAATACTTTTTATAATATTAGACAGGTTCAAATGGCCTTTTTTGGTGCATAGGCTGAGTGCCGGATTTAGATGAAGAGATACCCCAGGCTATTCTACTGTGAGGTCCTCCCCAATCCACTACCTTCACGACTAGAGCAAGGTGAAAGTGTGTTTTAAGAACAACTGAGCAAAACCGGAGATGATGATTGTAGTACCAAGGGTCTTTCGTCAGACCTGAAGAGCGGACAACAAACTAAAACCGGTCGCCACACCCGGCGTATGACTTATGCATCTTTTCTTACTACATATCTTAGAAGTCTTGTGATCGTCTTGTAGCTTTGGGTTTTGGACCTTCAATTATCTAATTGGTCAAATATGACGTAATTAATTATAGTGATTGGTTACTCAAGCCAAATGATGCAATTAGTATGACGTAATGGATGTATGAGTACGGTTCTGAATTGTACATGCTTTATTTAACACCCTATTCATTTTTGTGTATGAATTCATTTCATAACTTAATACATTTTGAGAAATAGCATTTTGAAATTGTTTTGAGAACGAAGTAGACCTACATACATTTTAAAATTGCTTTGATAATATAATACGAAAATATCACAAATAACATTACAAAAGCAGATGTAAAATGTAATATGAAAATGGTTAAAAGCACTTCTAGGTGTTACTTACTCGTTGCAACTTCCCGGAATCTGGTTCTGGCACTGGTTGGGTTGTAACTAAGGACCGTTTTCTTCGTATCACTACTGGCGGACCATTTAACTATGAAGGTGGGAACTCGAAGTGTTTCCTTGTAAAAGAATTCTTGGTTTAGACCTCGAGCCGTAGGAGCGGTACTGGTGCCTAATAGAAAAAAATAAACGCAGAAACATGTAGAGAAAGAAAGAAATTGGGTTTCATTTCGGAACCAATATACGGTATATCATTATGTCAGTTATTGGCTTGCAGTGGCAGAAAACTGGAAATGAAACGTGTTTAACGTTTTACTTTCCTATTGCAATCCGGCTAATAAAGATGACCATACTCCATTTCATCGTGCTATGGTGTTCCCACCTTCTTTTAATAGAATTCCAACTTTAAAGGGTATACACGGGACATCGGATTTTCGTCCCATCAGAACGACTACAGGCCAGACCCCCTGCCCTATACTACTAACAAGAGAAAACAACGCCGGAAAATCTCGTGGAAAATTCTCAGCGAACCCTGGTATGGAACCTTGGACCTCCTGGTTATTGTGCTAGCGCTTTACTCAGTGACTGACTCGCCGTGACTCGAGATAGGAAACTGTAGAAAGTGGTGGGACCCACGAAATCAGAGGCGTAAAAGTGTGGGATCAACCCCACGCCATTTGACTTAAAGATACATTATGGGAGATTCGATAACGAGTTGGCAGTTCTCACTATAATAATTAAAAACTAGATAACGTAAAGGCAATTTGCTAAAAATTTCATTCAAATTGATCCAGTATGAACCGAGAACTAAGCGAATGAAATTACTGCCTAGCCTCGGTCATCTTTACTAAAGTCAGTACGATAAACAGCATAGTCTCGATTATCCATTTAATCGTTTAATTGAGAAGGAAAGTTATGCAGTAAATCGGCTCACAATCCACTTAAGATCACAGGCTAGCGATGCCATCTAGAGTTGATTATGGTCTGGGTAAGTTAATCAATGTCTTATTAATAATTAAGATAACATTTCAGGCCTAAAGAAAGACCTGCAATAGACTGATTTAGCTCTTGCATAATGTATGTTTAATGGCAAATCTTATGATTTAAAACCCATGCATTAGACCATTCGGTCACCAAACTCATCTGGTTTTTTCGACCTTTCAGTAGCAGAATAAACCGGTATCCAGAGCGCACATTGGAAATGTACGCAAAATAATTCTTGACACCTGCTGTTAAAAGCAAGATATATCATCTTGTATAGTATTTATAAACAGAACATTAATGTTAACCCTATATAATATAATATACACAAATTTACATAAAGACCAGCTATAAAACAACTACTTTACTTACCAGACAGACGAACAGTAGCTACATGTGGACCAACAGGATCGTGGAGATTATCAGTAGCATTGATACTAAACGTATAAACGGCGGCTGAACATTCAGATCTTAAGGTCTTCACTGCTCTGATATTACCACTGCCTGTCACAGAGAGAATATACTATGGACAAAGTAATTTTCACTAACTCTTCAGTGTAGATATTCAGATATACTCTTCGCTATAGATACACATAACCTCAAAAGACCCCGAAGACATCTATCAAATAGTTTGATCTCGTAGAATACATTCAATATTACATGTTTGCATTAGTAGATTTACACATGATTATGGGTTGTATAACAAATAACGTAAAAGACAATTCTGTGACTGCATACCATTAATACAAATCTTACCATCAATATAGAAGTTTGTAGTCCGTGGATCAACACTCATGGTGAAATAGATTGGATCACCTTCTGGGTCAGTTACAGGAACTGTATAAACTATACCCCCATCATTTACTCCAATGGCATTCTTTGTTATACTTACTGAAAAGGTTCATTTAACTTTTATGATGTATATTAAATTGTACAGAAATAAAACGAAAGTACCACAAACCTTACCTGAAGTGATAAAAGGTGTTAAACAGAAATTACGTATTATAAATGGACCTTCTAGAAGTAAACCCACCCAACTCCAATGCTCTATACTCCGATGTTTTTATAACATACATTCAAAACAATAAGGAAATACTATGGGGCAAATGTCGAATTAAGGATCCATGGTTAGTTCTTACCTGCAAGTGGATTAAATACTGGAGGTCTGTTCGGAATAACCCGAACCTGGATCCTACCCTCAGCTGTAAGGAATGGTGGTATGGTACCTGGTGTCGGTGTGGTGACTATGACTGGTGCTGTTGTAACCGAAGTTGTAGTGAGTTGGGTAGCTGAGCTTGGGTTCGTACAGAGTACTGAAGAACTCACAGCTGCCGCCATTATGGAGCTCGTAGCTGACGGCACCGGAGGTGACATCGTGGAAGCTATAACTGTAGTATCTGCAGCTGTTGTAGTTGTAGTGTCTGTTGCTGCTGTCGTTGTAGTGTCCGCCGCTGCTGTCGTTGTAGTGTCCGCCGCTGCTGTCGTTGTAGGGCCCGACGCTGCTGTCGCTGTAGTGTCTGCCGTTATTGTCGCTGTTGTGCCCACCGCTGCAGTTGCCGTAGTGCCCGCCACTGCTGTCACCGTAGTGCCTGCCACTACTGTCGCTGTTGTGCCTGCCACTACTGTCGTTGTTGTGCCCGCAGCTGCTGTCGCTGTAGTGCCCGCAGCTGCTGTCACTGTAGTGCCTGCAGCTGCTGTCGTTGTAGTGTCTGCAACCGTCGGATCTATGGTCGTAACTGGTGTTGGTGTTAGCATTTCAGACACCATTGTTGTCGCACCCAACGATGCCGTAGTTAATACTGTACATTCAGGAAGAGATGGTACCGGTACTGGGACTGGGACTGGTATCGGATTTGGCGTAGGGGGCGTTGTTGGCATGGGTGTTGTAGCTGTATTTTCCACGGTACATCGAACTGTCATATCGAACACTGATCCTCTTCTATAAGATATAGGTATAACACCAGGAACGTAATAAAGACAGTAATTTGGCGGGGACCCTTGAAAAGAATCAAATCTTAAAATGAAACTAGCCTGGTTCAAAACTAAACGTTATATTCATTTCATTTTTTCTGATGTTCGTGTCGATTATGAAGCTGATAATTAAAATGGACGATTAAATTGTACATTATTTACTAACACATTACAATTTAATGACACATTATCATGGCTTGATACATTTAATGTTTTCATTATTAGATAATGATGAATGTTCATTTTATGCTTTCATTATCATTTAATGTTTTCATTATCATTTAATGTTTACATTATCATTTAATGTTTTCATTACCACGTAGCGGTTTCATTGTCATTTAATGTTTCAATTATCATTTCATGTTTTCATTGCCATTTAATGTATTCATTATAATTTATCAATTAATGTTTTCATTAACTTTGAATGTTTTCATTATCATTTAATGTTTTCATTATCATTTAATGTTAATATTATCATTTAATGTTAACATTTATCATTTAATGTAATCAGTTATCATTTACTGTTATCATTATCATTTACTGTTATCATTATCATTTAAAGCAGCATTATGGGAGATTAGATAAAGAGTTGACAGTTCTCGATTTAATAGTTAAAAAATAGATAACGTAAAAGGAATATGCTGAAAATTTCAGTCAGTCAAATTGCTCCATTCTGAACCGAGATATTAGTTTTTGAATTTTAGGCTAGCCTCAATCATCATTACTAAAGTCGGTACGATAAAAAAAACAGTCTCGATTATCCATTTTTACATTTAATTATTTTTCGAAATATGTATTCCAATCCGCTAAATATCGATGACTAGCGATGGTATCGAGAGTTATTTATGGTCTGAATAAGTTAATAAATGTCTATTAATAATTAAGATAACATTTCAGGCCCAACGAAAGACCCGCAGTAGGCAGATTCAGCTCTTGCATAACGCATGTTTAATGTTATTATTATCATTTAATGTTACCATTATCATTTAATGTTACCATTATCATTTAATGTTATTATTATCATCTAATGTTACCAGTATCATTTAATGTTATCATTATATATCATTTCATGTTATCAATATTTTTAAATTTTTTCATAATCATTTAATGTTTTCATTGTCATTTATCATTTAATGTTTACATTGTCATTTATCATTTGATGTTTTCATAATCATTTATCTTTAAATGTTTTCATAATCATTTATCATTTAATGTTTTTCATAACCATTTAATGTTTTCATAAACATTTAATGTTTCCATAAACATTTAATGTTTCCATAAACATTTAATGTTTTCAGTATCATTTAAAGACATATTACATGCTACAATATGATACAGTATGATACAATATGAAGCAATGAAACATAGGTTAAATGATAAGATGTGACCTACCTATAATAACATTAGTAAGGTTATAGATGGAGAAACATCGTCTACAGTAGGTGGGGAAGTTGATGCTGACCAATTCGACAACATAATGTGCTATAGGATCTCCATTGCATGTACAAGTTATACACGTCAACTGTTTGATCTGATTCTCACCCTCATGTAGATTATCCACAGAAAACCCATCCTGTATCTTAGGTTGAACATACTGAAATATATAGCAAATTAGGAAACGTCAGATATAAATTTTGATTAAATAAAAATATTACATTGAAGTCAAAATAAAGTCCTACATTATGTAGGTATAACTACAGTCAGCAGTTGTGTCGCTATTTACGCTATGGGAACACCCAAGGGCGTCATATATAGTTTAAAAGGCCTCTAATTAGTTCTTGTGATATTTTTTAAATCTCCAAGAATTGTTACTAGATGTTTTATACTTACACATTGTAGATTCACACCGGTGAAACACACCACAAAAACTGACAAAAACAATCGCGACATTTTAGAACTTCGACAAAAACGAATTTAAAACATGATAAGCAATTAATCAGTTTATGTTTTCAATTTCTTGCAATCTTCTTATGAAATATTGACACGCCATTTATATTTCTTATTTATAAATATATGACTTTAGATTTTCTTTCAGTTGACGTAAACACATATACTGCTGACGTACAACACATGACTTCTATTATCAGCCATGTTTGTGTGTCCACACAAAAGAATACAATGAAATGTTGGCCAATGTCTAGTGAGTATTGTTACGTTACAATAAAGAAGTTACACAGTAACGACGTTGTTGTATCTATGGCGGATGGAATGTAACGGGAATAAATGAACGGGTACAATAATATAGGTACTGTTATATCAAATATAAGTATACACATATTTATCATAATAATATAGATGTTCTTTTTATATACCACTATGTGGGACAGTAGGGGTACTAGCCATAAACTGGTATACAACCATACTGGCTTTATAACGCTTCAAGAGAGACGGAGACATACAAACTGATAATTATTTTAAAAAAATATTAATGATCTAATATCTATGGCAGCCAGGTTTATCATCTTACAAACAATGAAAATCTCTAAGAATATCCATTTCAGAGCAAAACATTTTTCAACTATTTCAGACCCTCTTCAACTGAAGTATTTATCTTATACTACTTTCAAACAAAATTAAAACTAAATGATCTTATTATTCTTATTATTACGGCAAATCCCAGAGGACCCATCTTTCAGCTACAGTCATCGATTTGATGATTCTTAACATTTTCTCTTCTGGTGCCCTATATATTCAGATATATGTCAGCGATATCACTTCGGTGGACGCGGACGTTTAATAAAGCTATTTCAATTGAAATAAGATATTATTTACACAGTGCAATGTTAATGGCGCCTACAGACCGACCCGTGGCGTACAAAAGGGCGACAGGATGGAGGTTTGAAAATATTCCATAGCTTATAACGCACGTAAAATTGTACACTTGATTAACATTTGATTAAGAAAATTAATAAAAATATCAACGGAAGATAATCCCCCGACCTGCTTTCAATCGGATTAAAAATAGGTCCACCCAAAGTTCATCGAATCTTAAAGATACATTATGGGAGATTCGATAAAAAGCTGTCAGTTCTCCTTGTAATAGTTAAAAACTAGATAATATAAGGGGAATTTGCTGAAAATTTCAGTCAATTTGATCCACTATGAACCGAGATTTTAGCGATTAAATTTTCGGCCTAGCCTCGATTATCCATTTCATTATTCAATCATGAATGAAAGTTCAGCAGCAAATCGGTTCCTAATCCAGTAAATAATGCAGACTAGCGATGCCATCGAGAGTTGATTATGGTTTGGATAAATTAATTAATGTCTAATTAATAATTGAGACAACGTTTCAGGTCTAAAGAAAGACCTGAAATAGGCAGATTTAGCTCTTGCATAATGTATGTTTAAAGATGACGCCGGCGTATTTAAATGTTTTATAAATGGTCAAAGCGGACATAACATTTAGTCAAAACGACCATAGATAGGTTATAACCCACATGACAATTAAAACGATGGATTTAGTATTTATTATTGTTGGACTAGGAACTTGTCGCTAACCGCTGTCTTTTTGTTCTTCTTCTTGTTCTTGGGGTGACGCTCTTCAAAAAAGCCTAAGGCTCCGCCAGTTCAAGTCTAATAGACATGAAAATTGGCATGTCTCTTCTTTAAACAGGTCTGCATCGATTTGGTGAGTTAAGAATCTAGTGATAAATATATTTAGATCGATTTTGACTACATTTTGTTGAATTTTACCGTTTTGGTTTGCAGCAGTTTTGACAATATCCAGTTTGTATCGTCTGAATTTATCATATCTTTGCAAATACTGTACGGTAGAGATTCAACTTAGATAATATTGTAGTTCCAGGGATTAACAATACAACAAGTGAAGTGTACAGACTTTAAAAGGGATGGGATATGTGAATAAAAAAACAGTATGCAGGAAGTGCGGTAGAAGTAAAAATCCAATTTTTGTTTTGCTCGACACAAAGCGATTGGGCATGGTGCAATTTCCTGTCCCGAGAAACTCGTTTCCGCTTACTCTCCTGCTACTTACATCGGTCAAGGAAAGTTTTACACTGAATTGTTCACGGCAATGTTAAGCTTGGTCGATACAGTACAAACAATTCGGTGACAATCTTTTGAAGTATACGCGATGCAGGAGAACGTTCTATGTAGAATTAAATGGCCTTACGTGGTCGAGTGATCTTAAGCGTTCGCTTTATATCATAATATTTGTCACTAAGTGAAGTGGCGTGGTTTCAATCCAAGGCTCCTAGTCCTACCTGTTAAGGAGTAAGACCGGTGTCCTTACCGCGACCTCGCGGATTTTGGTCGGGTCCTCTCCACCACTAAAGACCCGGCCGTATGCACAAACCCTTTTTCTGGCCGAATTATTTTGTTCACAAGACTTTAAACCCCATTGCATTCCGGTCATTTATCTTTGATTTTATTGTGAAGTTATATATATATACGTGTAAATGCATTAATGGGCTTAAAAGGGTTGGTTTGGGGCTAGGGATATCTCAGCATTTTAAGATCGTTCGTATATGCGCTTAAGAGGGTGGGGTTGGGGCTAGCGCTATTCAATACTAAATATGATTTCACAAGAACCATAGCCTCATGATGTCGCTAAACTTGTTGGTTTCCCAGTTGTGATTTCCAAAGGACACAATTATTGTCTAACCGTAAGTCTGATTGTCTGTTCTAGTGAGACCTGGTTAATCAGCATCTGTAGATTAATTCATCCAGGCGTTCAACAGATAAGGCGTGGAAAATTGACCAGGGCCCTGTTTCACAAAAACTTAAATCTCCTTAAAATCGTCTTAAACTAAAATTCCATCCTAACTTAAGATAGATGCGTTTCACAAAACGATTTTAAGCATTTTAGATAAAATCCCCTAAAATAATATTGTAAGTTAAAATTCTATCTTAACTTAAAATAGTGGCGTTTCACAAAGCTATTTTAGGGACAATTTTAACTAAAATCAATTTTAACTTAGGATAGCCGTCACCCTCTCCTAACTTAAAATCACGACATTAACAAACATTGATTAGAGCTACGTTGTGGGATCTATTGCGACATATGGATATATTTGGAATAATGATAATATTGCCAATGGCTCGGGTTGTATAATTTAAACATTAACATACTTTCATTCACAAAAATAATTTTCATTCATTTTTTTTTCATTGCATGGGAATATAGCTGCGACCCACCCGTTTATTTTATTGTAAGGCAATATAAGCAATTAGATGACCCCCTAAATTAAAACTCCAAGAACAAAAAAACCCCTCAAAACCCCAGTAAACAAAACTCCTTGTTACTATTTTATATATTACCATGATTCAAGTATAAATAATATTATTTTCAAATAATTAATAGACCCCCTCCCCCCCCCCCCCCCCAAAAAAAAAAAAAAAAAAAATCTAAACCCACTTCATATCTAATGGCTAAAAAAAATATTTTTGTAGGCCTACAATTGTTTAAAATGAGAGAGAGAGAGCGAGAGAGAGCGAGAGAGAGAGGGAGAGAGGGGGGGGGGGGCTTTTCGGGACTAACACATGGTTCAATTTGAATAATTCGCTTGAGCGGAGAAAACCCAAGAGGTTGGACGTACAACCGGGGAATCGAAACCCCGTCAGTCCTATAATACTAGATACGCCATATGCAAAGTATTTATGGCTTTGGGGTTATGATGATTTATATAGGAGCCAAGGGTATTTTATATTGAGAAAAATCATTTTAATTTAGTAAGATAGATAGGCATTATCCAATAAGGAGTATGGCACTTTGGCATTTTCAAATTATTATTGAAAGGGTCAATTCGACTGACATTTCAAATCTAGGCATAACATTGGTTATTTTGTGTATTAGCTTAAAAGTTATTAAATACTTTTAAAAATCGACAACATTTTAGTCTAGATTAATCGTTTGAGTCAGAAATATCACATGTTTGTGAATTTCTCAGTAGTTTCTGTTATCCAAAATACCATAAAACTACGAAATTCAAGCGATTTAGTTTATCCATACGCATTATTTCCATTAAAGCCTGCGAGTAAATCAAATGCCAAGGTCACGAAAGCGACATGCAAGTTCAAGGCCAACCAACTGATACATTTCAAAACAAAAAACACGCAATAAACTTATTTATTTCATCTCTCTACGATTGACTGACCATGTGCAGACATTGTTACAACGTATGAAACCCTCCTCATTGGTATTGTAACGGTTAGTTCAACCTGGCAACAGTTTTCAGTTTCGAAGCGTGTACGCTCACCCCCTATGTGCCTACACCGGAATTGTGCACTGCGCGAGCGCAAGCAATTTTAACTAAAATCTATTAAAATTACATTTTAAGTTACAATCGATCTTCGTGAAACGCTTAAAATTTAAAATTTCAGTTTGATTTTAGTTAAAATCTATTTTAGTGATTTTAGTTTAAGTTTTTGTGAAACAGGGCCCAGAGCTACAAATACTGAAACGATTTGCTTCTTGAGGATGTATTTACACAAACTATTGAATTCTCATATTTACAGTGATTCTTCACAAATCTGATAAAACTTTTAATAGTATTTACACCAATTTGTTTCAACTTTTGTTCAAACTGTTAAGAGTCTTTATATTATTATACATTTAAATAGCATTTTATTGTAGACTAAACGTTAATCATGTCTAAGGTAGCCCAGCTCATGAGGTGCTGGAGTTGGTTTAGCACTTCGATGAACTGTTGATCCATAATCTTGTTCTTGATAATCTGAAAATGGTAAATGTCAGATGGACTGAGTTAACAATTCTCAAATTAAAAAGATATATAATCACCTCTAGTTCAAAAATGAAAATAAGGAATTTATTGCGTCGTCACTATGGTGGGGTTTATGGTTTAGGAGATAATGACTGAAAATATAAGGTACAGTGTATCAGCAAGGATGTTGACTGCTCTGGAAGGCGTCATGTATGCCCTTGACACCCGACGCTCATTTTGTGTCGAATGAATGGATTTAATATTTCTCACGAACACAAAACTCCCCTCATTTTCTTCCTCAAAAATCAGCTGTCATGAATATTTTACGTACACGACTTATTTGTACACGAAATGACAAAACGGATAGAGACACTTCCTTATGCCAACCCGGACCAAGGTGAAAATCCAAACGATTTTCTCCGCACATTTTCTGTATTGCACTTATAACCAGGTATTTCATTATCTGTTTTATTAAAATTTCATGAAACATTTCCTCTGTGTTTTAATATCAGGGCAGAACGATAATAGGAAGCGTTGTCTATAAACCAGCTAAATGTCCCCAATTTCCGTGTAGATCTACACCCAGAAGTAAATCAACACGACACCCCTCCCTCATAGTATAGACTTAAATTGTTTATGGATTCCCCATCTAAAGGTAACGGAGGATAAGTATTTATATAGAAAGCCACAAATAAACAACTTTGAAAGTTAAAATTTATCACACTGTTCTATTACCACATCAAAACAGTTGAAAAAAACATTTTAACTTACGTTCTTGCCAAAAATCATGAATATCTCCTTGGCCCCTGACAGGTTGAGCTGTGAAACGTTTTGGTCTGAAATGTAAAATGTTTTATTGAAAACGCGCGGATTCGATCTAATCAGTGACAACATACATGTAAGTCTATTGCACAACACAATTTCAATGATTTGTGCTACAATATAAATCCTGACGTGTTGCGATTATGTTCCCAATCTCATTTCATTGTCGATTAAACGAAAAATGGATAATATTTGAAGTCGGCTGTGTTTTAGAAATACCTACTAAGCAAAGGAATGGAGAGAGAGAGAGAGAGAGAGAGAGAGAGAGAGAGGGTAACGTCCACTGGACATAAACTAGGTCATTTCGGGACTAATACATGGTTCAACTTTATTTCAAAAATTCGCTTACGCGTAGGGGTCTTTAGCAGTGGGAGGAAACCGGGGGACCCGGAGACCCTACTGATTATCACGTACAACCGGGAAAAGAAACCCCACTAGTTGACTCAATGACAGACCTTATGATACAGCGCGCACGTGCTAACCATTCGGCCATCCAATCCCCTTACGAAGGAATGGATAATAATAATTATTATTATTAAAAAAATTATTAACAGCCCTAATAGTAATACTTATTTTCCTTAATCTCGCTAAATACATGACCTGTGCCTTTTGGGTCAGATAATATCAGTTTTACCGAAATTATACAATCAGCTATTTTTAACAATTAAAGAGGACCTGCCAAATTGAATTTTACTTGGCACCACCATAGACATTAGCTTGGAAATGTAGGTCAAATCACTGGTTAACGCATGTGGATTGTCAATCATTAAAGATACATTATGGGAGATAAGATAAAGAGATGGCAGTTCTCGCTATAATAGTTAAAAACTAGATAGTGTAAAGGTAATTTGCTGAAAATTTCAGTCAAATTGATCCACTATGAGCCGAGAAAGAAGCGGGTGAAATCTTTGCATAGTCTCGGTCGTCATTACTAAAATCATTAATATAAACAGCATAGTCTCGATTATCCACTTTTTTAAATTTAATTATCAATGGCCGTTAGCGGCATATAGGAATCTAATCCAGCCAACATCGAAGGCTAGCCTTGACATCGAGAGTTTATTATGGTCTGGATAAGTTAATTAATGTCTAATTGATAATTTAGATAACATTTCCGGCCTAAAGAAAGACATCGCAATCTACTCACCTGCAACAATCACAACAGCCATCTCCTTCACCACCAGATCCACAGAACCCTGGACAGCAGCGAGGAAAGCAGAACCTCCATAACAGATACAACAGCAGAAGGAGCAGTAAAAGTCCAAGAATAGCCAGAAGAATTACCCAGGCTAGATTAGCGGGATTATCGAAGAAACCCGTAGATGCAGCCGCTGTTGCAGTAGCGCCCGCCCCCGCCCCAGCATCACTCCCTGTACCTGTACTGTTCACGCTTGTAGTAATGTTAATTGTAATATTGACCGCTCTTGTCGTAGCAACCGTTGTAGTCGTGGTGGTTGTGCAAGGGATCCCACTAATAGTTATGGTAGCCGGTCTGTTACTTTCCCTTGGGGGGCTTCCCAAATCTTCAGCGAATACGACTATCGTGTGACTTGATCCTGCCGCAATAGCACTTCTTAGGTAAACGTTACCGGAGGCCGTCACGGCCAGTGGACCACTCTCTGTAGCTGTGTAAATAATTTGTCCATTCGTTCCTGTATCAGCATCTGAAGCTTTTATAGTTTCAATCAACACTGTAATATAAAGTGAAGTATTTGTTAGGACGGTACGCGTTAGTTGCTTCCTCTTTGGATTTATTTACTATCCCTTCAAAATAAGACCTTGGCTCACTAACCAGGATATTCTAGGTTCGATAAAGTTTCCTGGTATTTTCCAGCAGAACACTGGGTGGTATATGATAATCTTCATTATTCCGGGTGATGTAAAAATAAAGGGCGGTATCAAAATACCGACAGTCTTTAGGGGGCTGTCGGGTATCGGAAAATGAATTAGAGTAGAAGCCTGTATAGGGTATTTTAAAAAATGTTTGTCATTGCATAAAACCAATGCGGTTATATCAATATGTCGATATTGAATGAAATGGGGGTTAATGTCCCATCGAAATTTTACTAAAACTAAGATAGGGTAATGCTACTTCGGTAGTTACATATATAGGTTGGTAGGGGGAGAACAGGGTTTCCAGCCATTCTTGTTTGAATTCCTACTGTCAAGGATCGTATACGTCCCACAAGGCATATTTTCCTCGTCAGCCCGTAACAGGTGAGATCCATGCTTAAAAACTCCCGACATTTATTATATATGTCTGTATTTGTGTACATGTAGTTTAAACAAATTAATGACATCTCTAATGCGCGTGTTAACTTCTAAGATAGACTCGACTGTAGCGTTATCTGGGATCTTCTAATAAATGAAATGATCTTGGATTTAGCATCTCACTGTTTAGCACTGTTTTTAATAGGCTAGCTGTCGGTTTAATAACTACAATAAGACATTATATCGTTTGTGAAATTATTCAAGGAAGCATGGATATTATTTATTGATTATACAACTTACTGGGTGGATCGCAGTCCATAATATTATTAGCAATATCAGTATTACTGATGATTGGAGCATTGTCGTTGGCATTGGTGATGGTCAGGGTCAGTTCAGCGGTGTCGCTTAGACCTCCACTGTCCGTTACCTCTATAACGAAGTCCACGGCTTGGGAATTCAGTTGATTTGCATCCAGATCAAAATCAGCATCAGAGGTGATAACTCCGAGGCTGTCGATGGAGAATCTGTCCGTGACGACAGTATTTCCAATTAAAGCCGTTACAATTTTGTAAGTATGAGTATCCAAAATGTCTTCATCGTCGATAAATGTTTGTGGGTCATAGGTTATCTATTAAAATAAATTAGAAAATATAAATTCCCAGCGACAGTTGTGTGGTTCTAGATATCATCAATTAGGTAATATCCAAACCACTGGGTTAAACATATTTTTTTGTCAATGCGTCGTTAAACCAAATTTATTGTATAATCTACATATTTTAATTTAGTAGCCATCGTGTAGTACAAGGATGGACTGGAACTGACGTTACCTTTTAACTGTAAAGAACCGCAACAAACCAAACAGTGTTAACGATCTGTAATAATAAACTTATCTACTGTATTGTGGGTTTACCGTATTAGTTATACATTTTCAATCATGAAACTATTTTTGTCTATGGGAAAGGCAGTTTTATGAACTCTGTAATGGTAGTCTTATCAAAAGACTGGAGAATATCGAGCTAGTTCATAAACTCAGAAACGATGCTCTAGCCTCTATTAACCAGGTTGGTTTGGTAATGATACAAGGATAAAGACTAAATGCTTACAAATCCTTCTTCGACCATTCCTGTTTGAGTCTTCGGAAGGAGAATTGGTTTATCATTTTCATCAATAACTTTGATAATCAGATAGAACAATTTCCTACAAACACCATTCGTTACTGCAAAAGATATATTACCAGTCGAAGCTTCTTCAAAATTAAACTGTTCCTTTATTCGTAATACATCACCTAGAACAAATCCGACAAGTAATATTAAAGGTGTATTTTCAATCAGTGAAAATATATGTAACACGCATTAAAGACGTATTGTTCATGCCCAGAGCCCCCGCAATTTGTAAACAAGACCCGATATATTTACTTCCGGTACGTTGATGGCTGTGTTCAACTTAGAAGGAGTTAAAACATTTAAGCACTGATTGGTCAAGATACACTTATCAATTATTATTTGTTTTGAAGTCTAATCGTGTTATGTAAAACTAAAGTATATAGTTACATTCCCCGCACCCAATAAGATCTGCAAAACCAATACATTAAACGACACTTACTTTGTAATGTAAATTTGTCAGCTATACTGGCAGGTGTTATGGGGTTTCCGTTGTCTATAGATAATGTGCCATCTTCTACGTTAAAAGAATGAAAGTATTGTCCCACGGGAGCTTTCTCAGAAACTGACACCTCTTGATTGGCACCAATTAAAGTTGGTTGCCTTGGATAGTCTTAAATATAAAAAGATTGAAATATGTACAATATCAATCTCAAAACAAAAAAAATCCCTTCATTTTACAGGAGAGTACTGATATTGTCTATTATAAGCAGGTATATAAACGGCCAAACACTACGATTAAACGCTTGCCATTTTACGATAATTTGTGCTAATGATCACTTAAGATCGTGCAAAATGGCAATTTATTCATTCCGCCATACTGTAGCCTCGGTTATATAGGAGGCTATTTCAAAGTTGATTTAATTATATGACCAGTCGAAATGAAAATATGAATACTCGAAATGATCGTGTGGAACGCTCAATGACGGATATCGGAATCTATCCTGGTTAAGCCTGGCACACAGCCCGCCGTACTTGCTACTACGGGCAGTCTACAGGTAAAATTTTAGTAAACCCGTACGTGAGATTCACGCATCACTTGTGTGTGTTGTGTTCGGCACCGTAGAAGGTCGCAGACTGGCCGTAGAGAATTTTGGTCCTGCACAGGCAAATTCTACGGGTCTAGCGAAAAATCACGAACGCATACAGTACGTACGAGTACCGTACTCCTGATGTACCCCAGCATCAACTCAGGAGCACGGCTAATAGGGGCATTGCGATGACAGTATGACAACGTCAAACGCACGGTGTCTGTACGGCTGACGTGCATTAGACCTATTACACAAGTACTTAAGGCTTACTATCATTGTGGTCCACCAGTCAGAAGTACATCTCACTTACCACCTCTGTGTGTGGCGTGCAATCAGTGCACACTTGCCCGTATTGTGCCCTTACTATTTATAAACACTTCACCCGATTTCTTGCTACAGATCTGCTAGCTACCAAAAGCTTAGCTACGAGAACGTAGCTAAACCAGTTGAGATATACCGATGACCGATGTACTTGTTCTTAGCTACGATTGGGTGCCTTTAGTTCCATGTGACAAACTCAATTTCTTTATTAATGCATGTAACATCTTAAAAATTAGTTAATTTTACACTATTGTGACTAATTGAATTTACAGAGGACAGGGTAGTGGCACAACTATCGCCTAACTCCAAATATTCGCGTTTAAATTAATGAAGTGTTGTTTGTATCTGACATACACCGTCATACATCTGTCGTTTAAAAATGGCGTTCTTAGTAAAGGCTTAACGCCTCGAGTTTAAATACGATGATTTATAATTAATTGTAGTTGGATGTGGCAGAAATGTTATAAATAACAATAATTAGTCGTTGTTTTGATGAAAAATATTGTCAATCTTGCTTACTGAGGCCGATCCGATGTGATTTGCGTTGGGCTTTGCTACGTGGAACTATATAGCACCACTTATCTCGAAACACGGAGGGTTGAGAGATGAGGTTTTGACACGTACGGCGGGTTGTGAGCCAGGCTTTCTAAGTGGGAGTAATGATACGACAAATGACTTTATATAGCATTATATATCAGTCTTTACTATACCTATATTTAAATCTACAGTTATCGGTGTTAGGAACTCGTGATAAGCGTCTTTGACTGTAACTTGAAAATTAAACTTCTTCGTTCCCGTACATGCAGCTTCAAATCCTTCTACGACTCGAATCTGACCCGTTTGTGCTGAAATAAACAAATCTCATTTTAATACCCGTTTCAAAAGTGCGATAAAAGGTCTTCGCTATCGTAAAATTTCACTTCAATCATCTTAGCGGAGTTATGGCTACATTTATGAATCGCGATTTTATTACCCTAATGAAAGGTAGACTAAACAACTTTAACAACTAAAGATGCATTAAGTAAAAACTAGACCTACCTATCGTAGGCCTTTTTACTTCCTTGAAATGTAATGTAAATCATTATTTCGACATTCATTCACATAATCAGCCCATAATCAACCATCAAGGCCATCGTATAGGCGACTCAGATATTAAATACATTAGAACATCCGCGCCATACAGTTGGTTAATGTTAAAATGAACAATGATACTTGACAATCGAGACTATTTATGATAAATCAAGCTTTATTTGAGTAATTTAATTGAAATTCATATTTCAGTATCCATATTTAAACTATTATATATCAAAAACAATGCATATTTAATGCAAAGTCCCACCACACAAAACAGAAAACGGTGATGGGGAAAGTGAGAAGGGTGGTGGGGGTAGACGAGAAATGGTATCAGATGTTCTCCAAGGGAAGCATACCCTGATTGGAGCGGTGTTTTGAAAGTGGATGATTTGAAATGCATGATCCAAACATAACGAGCATTATACTTACAATCAAGAACAAACTCTTGAAAACTATTTTGCTGAGAGTATGTGAGTTCATTGTTCTCGGCGTCCCTTGCTGATACTGTGAAAACTAGAGCTCCTACAGTCAAGTCGGCAGCAGCCTTTGTAACCGACTCTGAAAATAATGGGAGTTGAATGTGTTTTAGAATCTCGCTAGAATTGGACTTAGACTTAGGCCCGTGTTTTCTCGGTGTTTCCGTGCGCGTTTTCGCCAGCTAATGCAAACTTTAATAAACTGATAACGTTTCCATGTAACCGGCGAAAACGCGTACATGTCAAACGGGCTTAAACATACATTATGCAAGAGCTAAATCTGTCTATTGCAAGTCTTTCTTTAGGCCTGAAATGTTATCTAAATTATAAATTAGACATTAATTAACCTATCCAGACCATAATCAACTCTAGATGACATCGCTAGCCTGCGATCTTTAGTGGATTATGAGCCGATTTACTGCATAACTTTCCTTCACGATTTAACGATTAAATGGATAATCGAGACTATGCTGTTTATCGTACTGACTTTAGTAATGAAATTTCAATCGCTTAGTTCTCGGTTCATAGTGGATCAATTTAAAAGAAATTTTCAGCAAATTGCCTTTACATTATCTAGTTAGTGAGAACTGCCAACTCGTTATCGAAATTCACATAGCGTTAGTTTTGTCACAGAGTGAAAATAGTGAACTAAATCATCAAATGACACAAACTCCAGCAACATGATAACTTTTAAACAAAAATTTGCCAGGGCGTTCATATACTATTATATTTCCTCCAATCAAAGAGCTCCATCCCATTTCACGGGTAAATGGCCGCCTAAAATAGATGTGTCGTTATTCCGATTGAATCAAATGATTTTGTCTCCATCTCTTCATTTTCTCTGGTTTATGAATTTTGATTTGTAATTCCAATAATTGTATATCTTCTTTAGGAATGTGTTACGAAATGTACGCTTTTCAATATCTTTAGTTCTGATACTTTCTGTTGTGCGGTTATTGGGAAATGCATAGTTATAGTCGGAGATTTGGATAATTGGGAAACACCACAAAACCCATATGAAAGTCATGCTGTCTGTTTACAATTAGCTTTGATTTGAGAACAGACACGAAGCTAACTGATTGACAATTAAATTCCAACATCAACGAATTTAGTCCAAAACACTAATATTTCAAGTTCATTATTCTGCTTCTATTTTCATGTTTACTTACTGAATAAAGAACGTAGAACGGTTTAGAACCGCATCATAAAATAGTACACTGTTTTTTCAACATGGCGATCATTCACAGCAGAGATCTATTCTTAAAGTAAATACTTCGTTGTGCGCAGAATGCCCCACCCCACTATCTACAACCAGTTCCATCCATCTTAAAAACTTACCTCCTGACTTGGTCACAAATTGAGGCGCCATATTAGGAACCACCCGAACATCTGCTATTCCCCGCCTTGTTGTTGAATTCTGATCTTCGCAATCAAATGTTAATTTATATTCATTCACTACAGAGTACTGTATTCTGTTGTTGGCGAATGGGTAGTGAAAAATATTGTATATTGGTTCTGAAAAAAGTGCATAAAAACTTTGTGTTATTAAGAGAAATCGTTATATCTATACATACCTTTTGTGTTTTGTTGTAAAAAAAAGTTAATCCAACTTCTAGAAATAATCCAGAGCAAATAAACAAACATTGTTTTTAATAATAGACAATACAAATCTGTAACTTACGATCGCTGTCATCGTTATCAGATCTTATACTGAAACATTCACCATTGCCACCACAGTTAGTCGTTGGAGTAACAGAAATAAGGGTCACTTTATATCTAAAGTCAGGATCAATGGTGTCATTCAAACATTTGATCTCGCCTAATTTACTCCCGATCTCTAACCCTTCTTCTACATTAGTTACTATAGGGGCATTCAGAATAATAATCTGAAAAAAAACAACCAAATGTAAACATTTTTGAATTGAAAATGTGTACGTATTAATATCATCATGCAATTAAAACCAATGGCGAATGCAGGACTTTTGGTTTGGTTGGAGAGGGGAGTTCTTCACTATTCAAATTTTAAAATTTCGGGGTGTCAATGATGGTTATCTGTGGCGCATATCTGGACCCGAATATGAAATTCAATTTCACAGGCCAGATAACCCCAACAAACAAATAAGCCTAGATTTACACGGTCAATAAAAAATGATTTATTTATACTGTTATTTGGGGATGGGGGTGGATGAGTCCCTACCAGGATCCACGACTAGTTAAAACAAAACTCACCATCAACAAGACCCCCTCCCACAACCTCTGTAGCAAATAGAACCCAACAAAGCAAACATTACCTGGGCCATTCACCAACAATCGTTCATTAGCGCTCGAGTGGCAGACAAAGGTTAGATTTAAATATTTGATTTATAAATTATAGCAAGTTCGACGCCAACAAACATAAGTAAGGACCGTCTAATCAAATGTTTTTAACGATACTCATTTAATAATTTATGTTGGCATATATGCTAAATGTATAAATACGACCCTTTAGAATAAATGAATACGGTGTGACAAACAGATTTAAAAGATATCGAAATATTAAGTAACTCTCAAGGGACACATTCCATTTAATAATAACAAATTCGACTAAATTTATAGTCATTTTGTAAGAATTTATTTTCAAATAGTATGGAATTTACAGAACTCACATGTTTTGATTTGTTTTATATTACTTACCGCTGGTGTTAATCTGAGTATATACACCAGACATATAACAATACTAATCCTATATCTCATAATTTCCATCTGATGGCTGCAACTTCACATAATTTTTCCACAGACGCAAGTATTTTGAAGTATATTGAAATTTCGTATAAAACTAATCTCTGAGTTTTGATCGTTGTTGTGCTACAAGAAACCTAAAGAACACAGAAAGTGATGACGTTGTAGTCGAATTTGTATACAAGCTATTAACATATGTATATTTATATCTTTATCACTATATTACTTTTCATTGTGCAAATCTAACAAAATTGTTTGGGTTGACTTTTGTATGCGTGTGTGTGAATGTGTACAATTGGTGTCAATAAGACATTATTTGTACGAACAGATCTGAATAAATCGCGTTGTTACTACTTCAAAGAATAAACGACAGAAAGACCTTAAGCAACAAACATGGTGCCCCCAATTATTTTCTTCATAAAAATACTTCCCCAAATTAAATTTCACCTGTTGGCCTCGCTGTTTTAATGATAAACATTTAACATTTGATAATAGGGTAAGGCAGGGTTGTTACTTTAGCCCCTTCTTTTCCATTATGTATGTAGTGGATATTAATCAATAATACTAATTATTTGAATAAAACGCACCCAGACCAAGGTGTTTTGTTTCATATCATTATTTGTATACAGAATATATCGGAACTTGGATTGGGGAACAGTTTGAAAATTTAATTGCGTATTTTGTCTTGTAATTTGTTATTAATTAATCAAAAGATATTATTCACACAACTGTCATGGATAGAACTCCCTGGTGTGTTATTTAGTGTAATGTATGACGTACATAATGCATTCCAAACCACTTCTAGACGTCTCCTAGAGGTTAATACAAACCCTCCTGGATACTAGCCAAAATAGAAGAACCTTTTTATTTTAAGGCGAGCCGAGTGTCCGTTCTTGATTATCTTTGCCATACGTTTTGACAGCTGAAATCAAAGATTAATACTATCTCAAAACATGTATTTTCTATGGAATTTAAAGTTTTAAAACTACGAAGCTCATTAAGCGCAGTTATACTTGTGTCACAATATTGTTATAGCGTGTTCCAAAAATGATAACACACCCTGGTACATAATACCAGTAACTAACTAGTAAGAGATAAATGAGTCAAACGTTACCGAATTTAGTACTAATTGTAAACTAAGAGAGCCAAAGAATTGACTAGACGCGAAGAAACATTTCTCTCTTTACAGATATCGGGTGGGGGGGATGGCCGAATGGTTAGCACGTGCGCGCTGTATCATAGGGCCTGTCATTGAGTCAACTGGCGGGTTTTCGATTTCCCGGTTGTACGTGACAAGGAGTAGGGTCGCCTGTCCAACCTCGTGGGTTTTCTCTCGGTCCTCCGGTTTCCTCCCACTGCTAAAGACCCCTACGCGCAAGCGAATTATTGAAATAAAATTGAACCATGTGTTAGTCCCGAAATGACCTAGTTTGTGTCGAGTGGACGTTAAACCCCATCTCTCTCTCTCTCTCTCTCTCTCTCTCTCTCTCTCTCTCTCTCTCGTTACAGATATCAAACGAGCAATCTAGTCCTATATATCAGCGTAGTGATACAAACAAAAACACAAAGCTTTACAAATGACACAATAAGTGAAAATATTGGTGACAGTGACTTGTTCAAATAAAAACATTCTATTGTGCCTTTAGAAATGTTTATCATTCTGCTTATAATATACACTGACGTATATTGCTAACTGTGAATAGAGCACATCGCATAGAATCCATATATTGTGTTCTAATATATATATAATATATTCATGAAAAGTTTCGTATTTTTGTAACGAACAAGATAGACATTTCATAAGAAGATACATAGTTTTTGTTATCCAGGATTTGAAGTGTATTTAATAGAAGAAGTTTGTGAATTTAGACAAAAATCATGTAGAACACTACATGTATCACGCCGTCAATCAACAATATGTGAAGGATAAAATTATCAAAGTAACTTAGACTTCAGTTTTTTTCTGATTAAGCGTTCCATCGACTGAATTTAGAATTGAATTAAGAAGTAATATTTGTTGGTAGGACTTTTACTATTTATAAAACATTAATTACTGTTAAGTAGAAATTGGTTAAGAATGGAAACTCGTGTGATAATAATGGCGTTTTTGTTGGGGATATCAGTGGATTTCTCATTAGAAGTGGTAAGTTCACGTATTCTTACGATTATTAGTCGTATAATCTTTTTTTACTTCGTTTTAGATTTACACTACAGCACTTCGCTCTACATCTTAATGCTATAAGCAGCAGATTTTCCCCTTCAGTGCTGACAGACGATTGCAATTTAGGTTCACTTATGTTACATATGCCCTTTAAAATTTCTGTTTACCCGTTGCGTTTATTCAGGAGCGCAGAAAAGGGAAGATAGGCAAAAAATGGACCGGTTGTTTTCGGAAAAGAAGACCGGTTTGACAGAGTCCCTTACACAAAATGAGGCCTACAAATCAAAATTACACAATGGTGAGTTGACCGATTTTTTTATATGCCCCCCCCCCCAGCCACACACACACACAAAAGGGAAAATATATTTCTGCGACCCTGCGTTCATTACTAAATATTTTTCTGTCTGCGTTTACTCTTCTTTTCAGCCCTACTTAGCAAACCTGCCAATAGTTTATACTCTGTTTGAAGGAACACAAGAACAGTTTACATTCAATAGCCAGCAATTGATCTGTGAAAATGCTACGAATCGATATAAGGTCAACTTTATTAACGTTGACCCTACAACTAATTGTCAAAGCTGCTTTAATGTGTGGGCTGACACCGCTGGTGCAGGACGTAAGTACTTCTACTTATATTTGCGACAGCAAAACAACCAAAATATGTCGTCCTGGCGTCTAACCCTTGTAATACCAATCCCTTGCATTCAAATGGATCAAATCTGATACCACTATAACAATACGTCGCTTTTCGGAAGTCACTAAACAAGGTTTTTCAGGTCGCGTTGTTGTTGATACGGGGTATTTTGTCCAGAACGCGACTGGGTTAAAAAATACCCCGGTTTCTAGACGTATTTTCGTCAAGAAAAATTATTACCGACATCAGCTACAAACAAATAGAGCCACACAAATAATGTTCCGATCTTCAGGTGATAATTTAAACATTCTGCTTATGCTAAAAACTGCAGATCTACAAATTGGAATAATTATCATTGCTATGTATGTGTTTAACATCAACCTTATTTAAAATAAATACTGTTTAAATCATCGTAACACATACCCTTCATCCTACACTTGTCACATGCTCTAATGTGTATAATTATTATTATCGACGAGTGTGGTTTTTTTTGACATTATCGCCCAGAGTACTGCAAAAAGTGTGCCCCTTTGTCAAACGTATTGTACAGTGTGACCGACAAGGAAATATGTGATGTAGATACGTATATTATACACATCACATCCCAAATTTGATTACATTATAATGTTATCTATGAAACACGATATTTATAAAAAGAGCCCCCCCCCCCCCACCCACCCCCCCCCCCCCAACAAAACACATTGTGATCAAAACATAAAATCACCCCTGCCAGAGTTATTGAAAATATGTTTTCATTTATTTATTAAAGATACATTATGGGAGATTAGATAAAGAGCTGGCAGATCTCACTATAATAGTTAAAAACTAGATAATGTAAAGGGAATTTGCTGAAAATTTCAGTCAAATTGATCCACTCTGAACCGAGATTTTTGCGATTGAATTTTCGGCCTAGCCTCGATAATCATTACTAAAGTCGGTACGATAAAAAACATAGTATCGATTATCCCTTTTATGATTAAATCATGAATGAAAGTTGAGCAGCAAATCGGATCCTAAAGCAGTAAATATCGAGAGTTGATTATGGTTTGGATAAGTTAATTTTAATTAACTGTCTAATTAATAATTTAGATAACAGCTCAGTCCTAAAGAAAGACCTGCAATAGGCCGATTTAGCTCTTGCATAATGCATGTTTAAGTGCCCAGGAGGCAAGCCCCCCGGAACCCCATTTTCGCTCGATACGCTGATACCCCAAAAAAGACCTAATATGAATTTCGTTCCAACGGGCGTGTCAACATATCGTTCCGTTTCATTTCCGATTGTTAACTCGACCTCATCTTGTCTTTATGACGAGTTAAATATAACGAAATTAAACATAACATTTAATAATTTTGTATTATTGAAAACTGATACCAATTCCTTGTTAGTGGTTAGTTTAATTTTGACGATGTGATAATATCTACACTACATGAAGATCTTACTATGCTGAATTCTGTATCCTTGTTGCATTGGTTATAATTTACTTTAAATTAGACTGCACAAATTGCTAACGTTAACTTGTCTCTCTTATTTCAGAACCGAGCTACTTCCTTCGGTTTGTACCTAGTGCTACTAAATTAGACTACAACGCAGAGAATACGTACACAATAACACTGACGTGTGAAGACAGTGTCGTTGAATCACAAGATCAAAAGGTTGAAGTACGAATAACTCCTAACAACCAACCAACCTTCAGTACACCATCATTCGGTAAGTTCTAAGGATTATTTGTCATATTCCGTAACTTTCTCCGTACCTTGGTCCATTAGGCACAGAGATATCCACCACACCATCATAATGTGCCATTAATTTTGAAATGGTGTCAGACTATTTACTATAACAAGACCACCAGTTAGTGAAATAATACCATGGATCCGTTATATAGCCAACTGGCCCTTTTCATGAAAATTTAAGCTAGAATAGTTTTAAGAATACTGAATGTTCATTCATTGGCTAAGCTCAAAAATCATAGCACAAATTTTAGGACTTCGTTTAAGTTTCTTGGATATGGTCCCATTTTGGATGACCTAAGCTAACATTCCAAACCTACGCTGTCTGTCAACTATTAGCACTATTTGAGAATAAACACTGAACTAGTGACTGCCATTTTAAGTCCCAAAATCGACAATTTTAGTCGAAAACACTAATTTCTTTTTCGAGAATTTTGAGAAGCATATATTCTGCTTTCATTTAGTATAATTGAAAAGTTTTGATTAGTCTTTTTGTGAGAATTGGAGTAGAGCCTCATTACAAAACAGTATAGTAATTACAACAAAACACATACTTATGGAAAACAGCTACTAGTGTATTTAAGGCGACGTATAGTAATTGTTTGATATGGCGGAGATTAAGGACAGAGATCTATTTCCGAAGTAGATAATCTGTGAGAAGAATACAAAGCTAGTAGTTGGTGGGATTTAGGGAACCACCTTTTGGAAACATCGGAGTCCAGATTCTCTACCGCAATGTAAACCGGTAAAAGAAAGCAAAAATATGTCATTCCCATTTAAGTTACAGGTCTCATTATACAATACAAATAAATGGAACACATTTTATTATTTCAGACAGGGTAACATTACAGTCCTCAAATTTATTTGCTGGAACTAATGTATATGAAATTGTAGCCACAGATTCGGAAAATGATCCGATAGAATATGCTCTAGAAACTGTACCGACGTCATCAAATTTCGACATAAGAGGTACGTCGTAGAATTTCAGTTCTAGTAGAAGAACAAAATAAAAGCTATAGCTTCCAGTCTGCATGCTGAGGCTACCTTCACTTTTATTGTCTTGTTGACCGCGGTAGACTGAACCAGTCTCGCACCTATTTATATAGTTCGTATAGTAGGATTCTTGATCAGCAAGACCAGGACGAACAATTAGAATGTCGGGGCCGAACCCTTCTGATCTTATTTCGTTTCGTTTTTTTATAGTTCAAAATTTACTTGGGATCTGAAAGAGTTGATATATAACTCGCGTTTTGGCTGAAGTGAGGGATTAACCAATGAAACCACCTGTTACGGCGACTTCCTGATGTGCTCTACACTGAACTGTGGGTAAACGTCAACTAGAAACGTCAACGCTGACTGGGTGATTAATCAATGTCTGACGTCATAGGGTCAAAACCGCTCGTTTAACCCCTAACAGCCCCCCCCCCCATTACAACTGGTCAAATCTTCATGTAGTGTAGGCCATCGAAAGTATAAAAAAAAATGAAATATCGATCTGTATCTTAATCAGGTTGGGGCCGAAACGAAATTCCGGTGCTTTTTCCGATCTCGTTTTTCCATTGGATTCAATCTTTTGGGATGGTCGGAACCGGTCTGCTAAACGGCCATTCTCGTATATAGCTTGTTGAAGCTTGAATTTAAATGAATTTCTTCAGTCAATCGTCGGGTAATTTCGGAAAACGTAGAAAAACAGATCAGATGAATAAAGAACCCTTTAAAAATAATAAAAAAAGATGAAACAGTCTTTGCAATTAATATTCCCAGATGACGCATTTGTGTATTCTATCTTGTAGCCAATGGACAGATCTACACAGTAAATGGTTTTGAAGGAATCTGTTCAGGACAGAATAGTTATGAATTTAGAGTTCGTATTAAGGATCCATACAATGAATTTACAGATCCAATATCTGTCACTTTAGATCTACGTAAGTTATTATATAATCATAATTACATCACAATAAAACTGTACTTCATTAAAATTAAATAATAGGACGTTAAACCTCATTTTATTTCATTTCATTTCATTTAACTGCTGATGCGCCACTGGCATTTGTCTCTAAAATATCAAATTTCTCACGGTTTAAACTAAGTTAATATGTACCCAGGTTGATTATTTAACATTTAATCAAGAAAACAAAATCAAAATACCAACTCTATATAATGTCCCGGTTTGGATCCAATCGGATTTAAAACAGGCCCATCATTGAATTTTCATGAACAATAAAATGGCGGCGGACTTAATGCATAGCGAGCAGATAAGATCGATAAAAATCTTTGTAAATACTGAACCTAATGGAACCATTTTTGGATTGATATTCCTATTAGAGATTTTTTTTTCAATTTATTTTAGTTTGCAACTGATTCCTGTTGATTAAAATGGCACATCGTTACTTTAAGGTCATACGTGTACAAATCAAAACTACTTTTATAAACATTTTCGTATACATTATTATTAAAATTGATCAATTCTTACTAAAAGTACGTACACAATCAAGCCCTATTAGACAAACATGCGAACACGAGACACAAACCCCCGGCATTGCAAGCAATACACAACAAAAGTATATATCGAATCAATTGAAAGGGTCCGTGGGCTATACGGTATGGTCAACTACGCTGCTATGATGATGGCAATTTACATTGGTTTGACATTGAATTCTGAATGTGTCGCATTCAAAAACATTATAATAAATCGTTTTCGTACAAATTTTTTTTTTTATTAATCATTCATCCACAAATTGATTTTGTTTTGGAGCTAAATGCCCAATTATGTTCGATGATTAAAGGAGCTAAACCCACAACTCAATATTTCCATAATATTTGAAAATAATAATAATAAAAAAAACCGAATTAGATTTTAATATTATTCCATTTCAATCAATATTGATGTTATCTTGTTGTTACGTATTTCACCGAACATAATTAATCAGAAATTACAATTATATTTAAAAAAAAAATGATTATGAATTACATTATATACATTATCATTACAAGGATATTTATTAAGCTTCCAGAGAATAGAGCCATAGACCCTTTAACTCTGTTATATATGGGCTTGTCTGGAAAAAACAATGTTTTGACTGCCCAATTCCCCCATCCGCTTAACACGTCTCTGATTTTAGTACTGCTTCCATTTGATTCCAGAATTTCCCAACTTACCGTCTATTGGTAACGCCAATAGAGATGTAACAGTACCGGAGAACAGTGTACAGAATATACATACATTTACTGGTGTATCTGGTACAATTACTATATTAAATGTACAACCTAGTATTATGAGAAATAAGGTGACACTCTTTGGTAAGTTTTCTTTTCCTGTTGAACATTTAGCACAGATACTGTATAGATGGCTACACGTTAAAAACGTATAGTTAATTTATTATAATTCTTTGTGAGTAACAAACTCTGTATATGACGTTTTTATGTGTTTTTTTAACGGCCTACGTTGTGTGGCCGATAGATCACACGGCCTGTCATTAAGTCAAGTCGCGTTTTTCGACTCAACGCTTGTACGTGACGGGTGTTAGGGTCGCCTGTCCACCCTTGTGGATTTTCTCCGGATCCTCCGGTTTAATGCAACAACTAAAGACCGCTAGCGAATTATTGAAATAAAATTTAACCATATATTAGTCTCAAAATGACCTAGTTCTTTTTCGACTAGACTCATGGACGTTATAAGGGAGTATATACGTTTGTGTGGATATTATTTTTTTTAGGGGGAAACATATTGAGAGTTGATGAAGTATTTAATTTTGAACAGTTTAATACAGCAAACGTCACACTTCTTGTTAAAAGCGGCCAATGTGAAGCAAGGTACTGGTTGATGGTGCGTGTTCAAGAAATGAATGACATTCCAGTATTAACACCAGCGAAAATAAGTGCTTCCGTACCAGAGGGAGTTGTAAGTCTGCATTACATATAGTAAACAGAAGTATTGCGAAATCCTTCTTGTACCTCTGTATAAGATAACTGACATTTATAAGTTCAAGTATGCCTTTTACATATGACGTCACATCATACGGCCTCAGCCATTGTCGTTGCCGAAACCAATCTGATTAAAGCCCAGGTCCTGTTTCCTTTCGTTTCTTTTCAAAATTTCGATTTACTTGTCTTTACTACACTAGGGTCTGGAAGAGTTGTTATATTACGGGCGTTTTGGTTGAAGTGAGGGATTAGCCAATGAAACCACCTGTTACAGCGACTTCTTGGTCTTTTGATGTACGGAACTGTGGGTAAACGTCAACGCTGATTGAGTAATCAATGTCTGACGTCATAGGGTCAAAAGACATTCGTTTGACCCCTGACGTGAACTCCCACAATAACTTGTCAGATCTTCATGTAGTGTAGGCCATCAAAAGTATAAAAAAAACCGAAACGAAATATAGATCTGTATTTTAATCAGATTGAGCTGAAACTGGTCTGGTTAGAATGGTCCCTTTTACTCATTTTGCATACCCATTTACACTAAATAGGAAATATTTTTATCCAGATATACTTCAATCACCTTTATTTATTTTTCTAATACTTCAAAACAGTGTTTTAGAATTTAATTTTCAGAAGGAAAAAAAGTTAATATGGCGAGCTAATTTACCAGCACCGATGTCCCCCTCTCAGTGATTGCCGCGGCATAGCGAATATTCCCTGCTGATCACTGTAGCTCAATCTGTTTGAACATGAAAGAACGGACTAGTGGAGCAAGAATATCGACAGTCGAAAAACGACGAGTCCGCATGCGTTGTGCATATCTGACGTTGTTTGTCGTGTCATACAAATTACGTCAAATCTTTTAGACAGTTGTACCAGATTATCCTTTTTAGATTTTTATATTTGCTTTATAAATGTTATATAATAATAATGTATAACAAGTGCACGGATAAATGTAGTAATTTCTGTTATGCCCCCCCCCCCCCCCACCGTACCAATGAATCCCCAACCAAACAAAACCAACTAGATAATCTTTCCCAATTAACCTAACACAACACAACCTACTAAACACAAAAAAAAATTATCCAACTAAATTCAGGTAACCAAAGACCAAACCCAATAATAACAATTAAGCAAATAATCATCCCCCCCCCCCCAAAAAAAAAAAATAAAAACTTAACAAATCCCCAAACTCAGTAAAACCGAGTAATCAAATCCCCAAACTCAATAAAATTAACTAAACGTAAGTCCCAACCTAACCTAACCAATTAAACAAAAGCCCCAAACCTACAAAACCGACTAAATAAAGCCCAAACTCACCAAAACCAATTTTATGTACCCCCCCCCCCCCAACCACCCGTCCAGCCCCGCAATTCAACAAAAGAAATAACCCAACAAACTAAATAAAACATAACCCCAACGGAACGAGGCCAATAGAAGTAAAGCAACAAAACCAGTTAAACAAACCTCAGCCCAACAAAACCAATTAAACAAACTCCAGCCCAACAAAACAAAATCAGCCAGTCAAAGTTATGCAGCTTCATTCCACTGCTTGACTTTCCAGATCACCTACAATGCAGGCTTTAAAGTAGAAGATGAGGATTTTTCGGATACGGTAACCTACACTATACAGCGAGCTATCTCTGGAACACGTGATATCACGAGAGATTTCACCATTAATCAAGACGGAGAAATTATTTCAAATTTTGACTTTGACCTTGACAGCAGGGTAAGTAATACCCTACGGTCCATATAGGGCATCGGGTATTTTTTTTTTAATATGACACCATATAAAGATGCAGTATGTAAAATATAGATAAAGATTTGTCCGTTCAGGCTATAGTAGTTCAAAAACAGATAATGAACACAAATTATATTGAAAATTTCTTTCAAATTACTTTATTCTGGGCGTAGTTAAATGATTGTTTTGAGATGTAGCTTAAGTCGCTTATTATCGCAGTAACTGCACTTGACAACCATTTGATCGTTAAATTTTTAAATTCGCATCTGTTCATATCCATTTCAAACTCGGCCATCTCATGACCTAGAGAGAGATGATAATAGGCAAGTCATGTGAATAAATATCTCAATAATAATTTATAAAGGATTTGAAGCCAGTCAAAAAAAGTTGAAAAGGGAAATTTAGTTCTTTTTCATCTGTAAGAGTTTTATGTTTGTGTCAATGCCCAATATGTCTGTGTATCGAACCATTATTTCCCAGGGCTTGTCACGAGCAAATTGGAGGCGTGTAGATGACTACTCACGCAAATATAGACTTGCGCGAGTGAGGCGAGTACATGTATTTACTCACGCAGAATGATGTGCGTGAGTAGCCATTTAAATTTCATGTGCTTAATGGCAATGCTCTTGTCACTTCCGTGGAAGCAGACGTTGAATAAAGGTATTTCACACACAATGACAATGCATACTCTTTTATTTCCTTGGCAGTAATATTATCTGTAAATCGTCTTCCCATGACAAGAACATTGCAAGAGAAACTGGGCTTCCCTTTGCCATCGTTTGCGTGCTGAGGGGATTCGGGTAAAGCTTAGAAAGGTAAAAGAACAGGCAAAACAATTTCAATCCCATCAATTTGCAGAAAAGATGCGGGATCGAAAGAATTGCTATTAATAGAAACGACAACATCCGCTCAATGTTTGATTATCCAGACACGGCAAAGGACATCCGCTTAAAAACCGCCTGGCAGTACGCGTCTCAAAGTATTTTTAGTAACAACAGTTGGCACTGGAAAGACACGCCGCGTGCGCAATAGTGCATCGATATGAAGGCATACAAATTGTTTACGGCTTTTTATATTACGATATTCAATTATTTCTGATTAAATTATTTTTTATATTTGCGCGAGTACTTAATCACTCACGTAAATTTGGTTTTACGCGAGCGTAGCGTGCGCGCGAGTAATTACTCGCGTCTCGTGGCAAGCCCTGTTTCCCATCCACTCCTGTAATACTATATACACTGTACAGGTTATTTCAGTGCTCTAAATTTCAGTTATATCAGTTCTGTTTAATATATTAAAGTGGTTAAACAAATGGGGTGTTAAATGATATCCTCGTATGTTAATGATGTCACTGCCATCATTTATCTCTTGGTGTTAAATGTACGTTACGATAAGACATGAGATCGGAGTACAGATTAGCTTATTTTTTTTATAAATGTAGGGTTAATGAAACACTTATCCAAATATATAATCTCACTCATGCACGTATCCTATTTATAAGGAACGTGGGGGGTTTAAGTTTTTGAACACCCCATGTTAACCCTTTCCCCGGTTATGTGACATTATCCTACATATAGTTCATGTTGTACTGGATAAAATAGCCTTATTTGTGTATGTATCAACTGGGTTTTTACTTGTACGGTTCAATCCAACCGTTAACGATGCAAGTACGCTGACGTGGTCAGCCTAACTTAAGGCGTAACGATTTTGCCGTATCACCACTGAAGATGTATAGGCAATTGTCGCTATATTGTCCAGACTTTTCTTGCAAATTTTCGAGGCCATGTATTTTTTGGGGGTACCGAGTTCAACAACAGTTTTGGAACATTTATTTCATAATTTATGTGTATTTCATATTTTACAGGGTTCTGAAGTTGAATTGATAACATTTACTGTACGTGCTACTGATAAAAGAGGTGGTTTTGATGAAAGTGAAGTTATATTGAGAGTTGAAAATATCAATGATAATCCCCCAGTTATCACCACGGCATCTATTATAAATGACGTACTGATGGATTGTGATCCGCCACAACGAATCGCCACCGTAGCCGCAACAGATTTAGATCCAGGTCAGTTTCCAAGATCGTAAAACGCTTTTCTTGTTCACCACTAAGATTATCTCGAAAATACGACAGAGGACGTCCGGGTTACTTGGTGGCATGTATAATGTTAGGAGCAATGGTCGACAGATATTCAGCAGTCGTAAAAATAGTATGTCAATCTGCGTTCATGCTATTATATTTTACGCAAAGAGGGAGAAACCATTTGTATTTGTTTCATTTATCCCTGGGACTAATGATGTAACACCATACATGTATTAATATTACTATCAGTACGACTGTCAAGCTCTCGGGGATCTCGGGAACAATGGGTGTGTGACATTTTGGCAAACTTGACCAAATCTACTAAACGACCATAGACTCCCTGTATCTGGAGTACCACGACCCTACGAGAAACTGAGGGTAAAGTAGAACGTGTAAGCTATATATCGTTTGATGTTTTCATTCCCTACTAATCGAATTAACATGATAAATGGATTGTGCGATAATTAACAAACGAACAATGTATGCATATCGGGCATCCATAAATCAGATTCCAGATATAAGACTATTCATATTTGATTTAATTTTGATAACACAGGTACAAGTCCCAACGGTCAGTTCCAGTTTAAAGGTAGCGGAGCGGGAAACTTGAGAGTGACCCCGGATGGTGCCGTTTTCTTGGACACGCCTGTAACAGCAGACACAACCTATTCTTATACGATATTTGCTGAAGATTTAGGCAATCCACAACTAACCAGTGCCAAACCAATTACCATTACAGTCATAGGTCAAGCTTGTACAACCATCTTCGTACCACCAACAACATTACCGGCAGTAGTTGTTACTGTGCCCGCAGTGACACTGAACACTGGGGCCGGTGCTGGGGCCGGTGCTGGTGCGGGAGCTTCTGCTGGGGCTTCGGCGTCAGCTTCGTCCACGTCCCTTTTGGACGACCCCACTAACCTCATCTGGATAATTTTCCTTGGACTATTGGGTCTCCTGCTGCTTGGTCTCCTGGCATGGCTGTTATGGAGATTCTGCTTTCCCCGATGTTGTCCTGGTTGCTATGGTAGCGACTCATCAGCATTGGGTAGAAATACTGGAGGAAGTGACGGGTGTTGTAATAGATGCTGTGGCAAATCCAAGTAAGTTTTAAAATGAAAAAATGAAAGGAAATGGGATTTAACGTCCTACTATTCTGCTCCTACTGGGCAAATGTAGACGGGTATACTCCATACAGTGTGCTATCAGGAAAATTTTGCCCTATGGCCTACTCTTATATGGAATTCCAACTGCCAAAGGATCTTTTACGTGCACGCCAATGTATACACAGGTCCTTTTTTCCGTCCCATCCGCACGACTAGACAGCTGTCCTTGCCAGGCCCCCGTTCTTCACCACTGACAATGGATTTATACCAGGGAGTAGTAACATTACCTTCTTTTTTAAAATCCCAACAATCTACTTTTCCATTACGTGCCCACAAATCTTTACCGGGGAGATTTCTGTTGGTTTTTTTACCACTCCAATGACCGAGTACTGAAGGGTCCGAGTACGCCCCTTATACCCATATCTACCCACTCCTAGTAAAGTTTCAGTCACTTCCATTCAGCGACGTTTCTATTTCGACGAAAGACAATTTTTGTTTCAGCTGAACAAAAAGTGCGAAATTTGTATACAGAACCAAGTATACACAGCCACATGTGTATACAGAGCCGATGGTAACACGGAGGTTGACGTACAGCTTACGGATAAGAGGATATTGACTACTGAGAACACATTAATAACAAGAAAATTGAGACTCAATTTCCCACAAGTCATACAAGCCAATTATCATATACACACGTGGTGCTATTTTGTCCAGACTAATATTCGCCGAGTCAATTCATGCTAGGTTGATGGTGACTCCATAAAGATAATTTAAAATAAACACAGTGTTCATTATTTTCAATTAATAGACAATATTGGTGTCAGTCATTATAAAATATGTGATAGAGCTCGTAAAATACATCCCAAATATAGTTTTAACACAAAGATCATTGCTACGGGAGTTGTGTAACAAGCACGTGAAGAAACAGGAAGTGACGTCAAACATGACAAACACGAGTTGTCCTTCTATATAACTGAATGAAGTAACGAGCGGTAACAGACAAATGATCGAATTTCATTTTACTGATAATTCCGTTGAAGATGAAAGGTTGTTATATGAGACGATGATAGGATATCTGCCAATTCAAAAAAAGAATTGGCTGTCAGTAGATAAAAGATAACGAACAGATTAGAAAAAATCCGTGCATTACCATGTTTTTATTAAGAACAGAATGAATAAAAACGGGGGAATGCACGGGATTTTTTTTACTTTTACTCGTGTCCCTTATCTAGTGACAGCCAATTCTATTTTTGAATTGTGAGATACCCCCTCACCGTCCCATATAATAACTTTTCAACTTCAACGGAATTATCAGTGAAATGAAATTCGATCGTTTGTCTCTTACCGCTCGTTACTTCAGTCAGTTATATAGAAGGACAACTCATGTTTGTCAGGTTTGACGTCACTTCCCGTTTCTTCACGTTCTTGTTACACGTCTCCCGTACCAATGATCTCTTTGTTGAAATTATATTTGGAATGTATTTAACCAGTTCTATCACATATGTAATAATGACTGACACCAATATTGTCCTTTAAATTTTTCAGTCCAACAGTTGGCCCACGAGAACCGGAGCACTACCCCGAAGGAAAGGTTAAAGACTTTTGGCAAGAACGTAAGTATATCCGCTCACTTTTCTAGAGTCAAAAAGTCTACTTCCAGTTGCACGCTTTTATGAGGGTGTATGTTTACACAAAGAGTTAAAATGAATTAAAATCCACTGGACGAGATCTAGAGACTACTTTTTTAAAATTAAGATCGTCTTTTCAACACCCAGTCGTACATATCAGCATCGGTTTGGCAGATTAAGGGCTAATAATGAGCATCCAAATGAGAATTTAATATCTGAATAGTGGTCGTTGACCTCGAAGAACCTTCGGAATTTTTCAAATCCTGTTCTCACTTTCGAAGGAGTTGAAATTCCACAAGGAGTATTCGCAAAGGCGACTGTCAAAGGTTATTTTATGTGCACGCCAATGTGTACACTGGTGAACCTCAGTTTCATCGAGCAATATTTCCTTGTCAGTCTCGCAGGCACCAAACATGACAATAATTGAAGGTCAGGACATTATATATCCTGAAGGATTCGAGTAGAGCGTCAAGTGCTTGTTTTCTTTTTACCACGGACGCCTCTCAGTACGCTTGTGTTTTGACATTCCAAGCTATTTATGAGTTCTAGCTTGATACTAATTTGGACGAAATTGATCTTAAAATCTGATTTCAATATCAACATATTTTTAATAGACTTTTGAAATAAAAGTAAACGTTCTGGTATATATTTAATACATAAAAAGCTTGTTGTTTTTTTTTATGTCACAGACTATCAAGAACTTGATTATGACAACACAACACACAGAAGTCACGTTCCTACAAGTGGTCTACATGAAGATGGTTATCTAAACCCACGATAGATACATGCAATATATGGATGTATCCATGCATACAAAGACTGACACATACTAACAATTTATAGACTAATGTTAAAGTTTAAAACACACACTACTTATATAATAAATTTATAAATTAATACATAAAAATTTATTCAAAGGTAAATTTCAGTGGATTTTTGTTTATTCTACAAATTCCCCAAATGCCAAAAATCCCGATTTGTAAATATAAATGTTAATTTAGGAGGTTTTAAAAAGAACAACAAAATATTTTTTTTAAAAATCTTTGGGGTTATTTAGTGGAAGGAAAATTTCAACAGATATTCCTGAAGAACTAAATCTCAAATTGACATGTGTGAAAATGTATTACTATATTATAAAAATGTATTCGAAAGGAGACCATTAATCTGACGTATTACCAGAACTATACTTAAAGGAGCCAAATCGCTAATATTTGGGACCTAGAAATTGACACAAATGGGTCGCAACGCATATAATAATGTAGTATGAATGTATATAAACTGATTTACATTCAAACGTTTCTGTTTTTACTATAATTTCTAATCAGTGATGTTCGGCGAAATACGTCAGAAGTCTAAATCGAATGGCAATCTATAGCGTCTGGTTATTTCAGTCTACACCGAAAGTATTTATTGCGCATGCTCTCCAGGTAAGAATATGGCGTCATCGTTTGACATGACTTGTGGAATATGTCTAGCATCGTTCTTCGAGTCCCTGTTGCAAATGGCGCTGAAACGCATTATGGTACACGATTCGTGTACCAATGGTAAAATTTTTTTTTTGTCTTAAATATTGGATATCAGAAGTCCATCTTTTCTCGGTAAGATCACAACATCCATATTGATTTAAATTGACAAATAATTCGTGTTTTCAATGTCGAAGACTTTGGATGATATTGGGTTAGAGACTTAGCTACTTTAATTGTGAGATCAAGTATTGTTAACGGGATGAAATGGTGTTGAAATAGCAATAAAAATATTTTAAATCAAGAAGCGTCGTTGCCTTTGTAAACACATTAATTATATTAGATATTTGTGTTGTCTTGGAGCATCGTTAAAATTAGTTCAGAAAATTATTTTTTAGGACTGACTTTATATTCCCCATAATTATTCGAACACATTTTTTGTTTCATAACGTCACCCTCACTTGGATTACTAATAGGTATTTTGCTCGTGCTATCAATTTACATTTTTATTTCTGAAATACTTTATATATATATAGAAGTTGGATAGTGTGAATTTTCTCAAAAAGTAAGTATTTGCGATATTAAGAAGTTGTAGGAATCTGTTGACGATGACCAGTAGTACTATAGCCAGCTTCGTTATAATCTGAAATAATAATAATATACATCATGGTTTTATTTATACATGCTGAATTTCGTATCTTGGTATATAAATTGTGTGATGCATTGCACGCCGCGTTTAAATAAAATCTTATTTTCTAACAACAGATAGATAATGGTGACAACTTCTAGATCAATCTTAAGAAAAATTCTAGGTAGATTGGAAATAAAATAACAAACAATAGTTGGAATTCGGAGAATATAGGTGGAAACACCAGTGTCTGGGCGTAACTTTCCCCACTAGTGTTGAACACCTGACTATATGAAAATAACCGTATGTTAGTCGAAAATTGACCAAGTATACCTTTCTTTCTTTCACGTTGTCAGAATTGCACATCAGCCCGAATAAAAAGTAAATGAAATCAAGTACACTTGAAAGATACCGCTTGTTACAGTCTGATCATTGTCAAGTTTATTGTCATTGAGATATAATTAACAGAGAAAGGTTGCTTACGCTCTTTCCAGAAATCGTAAATTTTCCCATCGTTGATACTATTGGCGCTCCTTACTGTATATCTTGCTGGTATCACACTATTTCTTCTTGGCCTAGAAGCAAATATATACAGGGTTATTAGTAGAATACCTATTACGTAACCGTCTTCATTTGACCGATTAGATCAGAAAAGTACAAAGTTAAACACCATTTCATTTCCTATTACAATATACTTACTTTGGGATTGTAATTAAAAGAATCAAACCAGTACTATATGGACCAGAAATCGGCCATCTTGAAATTGTGACGTTATATTAAAAATGACGATGCGCCCAGGGATCAAGTTTGTCAAGTTTCATGTCGATCATACTTTAATTGGCGGGGCCTTGGGCTTTCGATGAGCCCCCCCCCCCCCAAGTACAACAGCAGTCAAATGAGGACGGCTTTGGGAAACAGTTCCTTGTCAGCAAAGAGATTCATTGGAATACGGGGTGGGGCATTGTGGGTATACTATAAATCTATTTTTCCCGGCCATAAGAAATATCATATTTACCCTTCACAGCATTGTGACATGCGCACTTTACAACATCGGCAGCAATCGGTATCACATTCACAGAACCCTCGTCTACACAAACCGTTGTCAAACACCTCATCACTACGTAGATGCTTGATGGGATAGCATAATCCACAACATGTCGGACAACAAAACTTCCATAAGAGATATCCTAAAAGACCCAGTAGAGCTAGTCCAAGGAGACTCGCCATTACCGTGGCTATGATGTTTCCTGTACAACAATAAAAGTATTAGCATTGTGAACTCTTCAATTGAGAAGTGATATCAGATTTTCTAGAATAGGTACATACACGCCTTCTCCTTACTCATCGATAAATGGAGCGATAATTCAGAAAAGACACAAGCGGATCATTTATAAACAGTTTTTGTTCAACTATGTCACGTAGACCATTAGGAAACTGTCAGGTTTGCTTTGGCAGATGTTTATTAGATTAATATTTATATTTAGCTACCTTTATTTTCAACAGGAGTTGATAAAAACTGTAGGGTTTTATCAAAGGGAATGCAGAGGTGAGTGTTGGGGGTAGGGAGAATGGGAGGATAGTTGTGTACGAACGTCAATTGGCAACTCAATTATAATGTATAGCCTACGAGCCAGTCAGTTCCTTGTCAATTGTACATACGTTTATCAGTCTTAACGTTTATCAGTCTTAACGTTCATCTAGTATTAGTCCGACTAGCATCCTCCAGTTTAAGCTTGGAAGTGGAATCCACCTTATATCAAGGATCAACTATGGTACTTGCAAACTACATTAAATTAAAATCATGTTACCTGGATCACTAAAGAAGTCATCTGGTTGGTTACTGGTAGTGATATTAGTCAGATCGAGATTATTGGAGATTCCCGTGTCAATGTTGTTGATGATCCGATTGGTTACTTGTATTTCCGTTATGACTACAGCCGGGATTATGGTCGTAGGTGGTGGCGTAGTCGTGCACGGAACTCCGACTACTGAGATCGTAACGGGAACCCCACTCGTCCGTTGCGGTGTGCCACGATCAACAGCCTCTACGGTGATAATGAAATTTTCTCCTGCATTTATTGGACTGGTTTGATAAACCGCCCCACCTGGTGTTACGGTGATTGGACCTTCCGACGTCGTTGATGATCTGTATAATATTTCTCCATTTCGTGCAAAATCTTCATCCTTTGCAGTAACGGTCATAAGTCTCATAGGTAAGTCGCAATCCATAATTGTTAACTGCCTATTGATTTCGCTCGTAAATTCTGGATCGTTGTCATTGATTTCCGTAACCGTCAAGGTTACCGTTGCTGTGTCAACAGCTTTACCCTTTGAATCTATGACCTTGACAGGCAAGACTACGATGTCGCGCTCCAAGCCCCGATCATCGAGGTCAAATTCACCATTAGATGTAATGACACCAGTTACAGGATCAATAGAAAACTGGTTAACCGCGCCTTGTGTCGACGCGAATTCAAAAGTGTGACTGTCATCAAAGTCTTCGTCCTTTACGTCAAATTCTGGGTTAAATGAAATCTACAACAATAGATAACTTTGGATTACAAAAAGGTTTGCGAATATGTGTTAAAATAATACTTATTGTAGATGGAAATTTAGTTTTAATAGAAAATAAATTCAAGAATATTAAGCCATATCTCACAAAATTTATTTAAGGGGGTGGGTTGTAGGTTGGTATATAAATCCACTTTATAAAACCCATGATGCGTTTAGAACCTTTATTGATTAAACCACGTGTATTGTAAGCTTTTCACCAAATTCAGAATGATTTCATTGTATTTGGGTCCTGCTTACATTCCTGGCTTTAGGAAGGATAGTGTTATTATTCCTCCTCAGTACTCGTACTTACATATCCCTCCTCAACCTGGGCACTCTGAACTTGGGGTGATAATTCTGGTTCATCATTGACGTCATTTACATTCACGACTAACCAGTATTTTGATTCACAGAAACCGTTGGAAAATGTGAAGCTTATATTGGCCTTGTTATCTACTTCATAATTAAATGGCGTGTTCACGGATAACTGGCCATCTGTAAATGAAAAGTAGTACCGCGTGTTCATGAAACTATAAGCATACTACACTATTGTACACAATAAAAAGTAATTTTATCATACAAGCATGATAGTTAAGAATTATTTAAAGTTGCAATTTCACATTTTTAAATTATATTTTTTAAAATTTATTAAAATAAAGACTTAAAATAGATGGTATCTATAACAGTCCTACCTTGTTAAAGACTAATTCTATTAATCCTATAATTCACTATTGCCAGTTGAGAAATTGGCAAAAATATCATTTTCATCTTCTAATTCCAACGTTTGAAGATAACTACTCCATGGTGGAGAATAGAAAACAAGGGAGGTAATTGGGAGGTAATTGTGTTATTATTTCCAGTGTAAATGAGTTTTAAGTGTGAGAATGACACCAATGATCGTACAATAGTGAGTTGACAACCTATTGAGCAAAAGACATAGAAATAATTATGTTTTGACTTTCTTAGAAAATATGAAATTGTAACTTTAAAACGACCAATAGTTCACATGACTTACTATTCATTTCACGCCACCAACTTTATTTGCCAGTTTCACCCTCTTCCAATGGTAAGGAATGTATATATATATATATATGCCCTGGACACATCAAAGCTGAAAACAACTGGTAAATACGTACCTTTTAATGTGAAATGTTTCTCCATATTAGAGGGTCTAACAGTCATGATTGAAGATGATGCATCTAATAAACCAAGGTTTACTAGTCTCGTACCTGTACCAGTGTTCTCATCAATAGATATTTGCTGATTTAACAAGTCTGTTGTTGGTGGAGTGTTTGGATCTGAAAAGTTTCAATATGGAAGTCAAGTAGTTTATTATATCAAAATAGAATGGCTTTACCGGTGTACAAAAACACCCACGGGTCTAGTCAGGCATCATCAAGCGACAATTTCGCTTCGCCTGTCATGGCTAAGCACTATTAATTTGTGAAATGCATTAGCTAACTTGTGTTTTCTTGTATGCTTTTACTGGGTGTGGTCTACAAGTTATTTATTATTTAAACACAGCGTGAAGTAAAAAATACCGCCCCTAAACGTACACCACTTTCGTGGCCGTAATATCCACAAGGTCACCATACTTCTTATAAAGTACCTGTATGGAACATATGACGTTCATACATATTATTATATAAAAGACCGCCGCCATTTCCTTTTAGTGCTTTACTTACTTTCGACCTCAATATTTATATTCACTGGCCCTTGTCTATCATTATAACTATCTGTGACGTAAGCTGATAATGAGTATGACGTTTCACAGCTATTTTCTATGTTTTGTTTTAACGTTATTCTTCCATTATCTGTAAGAACAAAATGATTTTATTTATATTTGTTATCTATTAAAACAGTTTTCAATCAAACAGTAAGAATGACAAAGATCAACTTTTCTTGCTTGGTATATGCCATGTTATCAAAGCAGCGCAACCGATGTACCGTTAGCTGATTTTCTATTACATGTACTATTATATACTATTCAAAAAAAGTAGGGGATATTTGATTTTGGGGGCATAATATTAAAATATGCAAATGACTACGAAAAAAGTCACTATAGAACCTAACAGAAGAAACATTTCCAGTTACATGTGACGCCCAAACGCACCAATAGCTGCCGCATGGAATGCAGGTGATGCTTGGTATCATCATGGGGGTCCAACCCAAGATTTGCACGACTCTGACTTTGAATGTTACAGTCATTGTGGCATTGAATTCCAGGGTGGAAACATCAGTTTAATTGTTTTAGTGACCAGAAAACAAATTTTGATATGCGTCGGCTTACCCAAAATGAAAGGTTACGTGCCCTTGGCATGCTACAGATCGGCACAACACAGGCGGTTGTGGCGCGGACGATGAATGTTTCTCAGTCTGTCATAAGCAGGCTATGGTCCAGATACCGTGATACACAATCTGTACAGGACAGACCACGCTCAGGTCGACCAAGGGCGACAACTCAAGCCCAGGATCGATTTATCCGTACCTTGGCCTTGAGAAATCGTGTCATCACAGCAAATCAGATCAGCGCTCGTCTTCAAACAGACACTGGTGTGAGAGTGAGTGGCCAGACGATTCGGAATCGACTGCATAGGGGTCACCTTCGCGCCCGACGTCCTCGCGTGATCCCTTGTTTGAGAGATCATCACATTCAGGCAAGACGTCGTTGGTGTAGGGATCGTCAACACTGGGATAATCGACGCTGGAGCAATGTGATGTTTTCAGATGAGTCAAGGTTCACTGTTGATTTTTTTGACAGACGTAGGAGGGTGTGGCGTCGTCGAAACGAGCGCTTCCAAGACGTTAACGTCATCAGACATGATCGATTTGGGGGTGGTTCTGTTATGGTGTGGGGAGGCATCACTGTTGCTGGAAGAACGGCTTTACATGTTGTTGCAGGGCGTGTTACAGGCCAGTACTACCGGGACAACATCTTGGCAGTCCATGTTGTGCCGTTCGCACGACGTCATAGCCGCCGTTTCATCTTCCAGGATGACAACGCAAGATGTCACAGGGCCAGGATCGTTACAGGTTACCTCCAACAACAGAACATCACCACATTACCTTGGCCAGCACCGAGTCCCGACCTCTCCCCCATCGAGCATGTCTGGGACATGCTTGGACAGAGGTTACGTCAACGTCAACAACGTCCTGCCAATGTCCAAGAACTTGCTGCTGCGTTGCAACAGGAATGGGACAATCTGGACCAAAATGACCTTAGACGTCTCATTAGGAGTATGCCACGTCGGATCAATGCTTGTTTGGCAAACAGAGGAGGATTTACCAGTTACTGACTTGGTTGTGATGCTGTGGTAACTTTGCTGTTTGACCCCGGGTATCATTTTACCCTTATAATGGTCAGTCTGTGCCTTACTTAGTCTAACGATCATTTGGAATAAATCGATGAATGTGAACTTCATTTCATTTTGTCATTTGTTTCTTCGTCAGTTTCATTAGGTGACTTTAATAACACTTAAAAATCAAATATCCCCTACTTTTTTTGAATAGTATAAGATTAAAGGATCTGCACTAGATGCTAAGGAAAATATAGTCTTTTACATAGGCCAATAGCTTGAAAATATAGGCGACACATGCGATCGTAAATCAATATAAAATTTCGTAAAATCTCAGCTGGTTAACATAATAATAATTCTATTATTCTTTTGTATTCTGCTCCTTTAGCTAAACCGATAAAATTAGAACATTATTGTGAGATAAGGTGCATTGTTTACCCAAATCACCTAATCGTTTAAATACAAAACTGATGAATATGCTTCAACCAATTGCCCCTCCCTCCCTCCCGTCTGTACTTACTGTCTATTTGAAAGGTATCAGAAGAACTTCTAGACTCGGGTGTCAAGGTATATTGTAGATCATCATTATTAGGGTCGGTAGCCTCGATTTGAAAGACTGGTGAACCTACAGTTTTATCAGGTAACGACACTGAGACTGATAAATAAATCAAATATGTAATATAAAAAATAAAAAAAATGATAATCACAAAATGACAAAAGCGCTTTGACCTATGTGAAAACCATGATTAAATCCAATATTTTTATTTTATGGTATAACTGCTTTTCAAATTTTGTGTGCGTAGATTGAGTCAAAATACAATTACCGCGCTTTCTTTCTACTATTGACGACACAAAACATTACAATGTCAAGCAGACCAAATTCCGCTTTCTTTGCAGAAATGAAAATTGATCACTCACCACAATAACACGTTGATCCAATGCAATACTTTACCCTAGCGTAAATAACTTACATAATAATGCGCTTAAATATAGTCTGACCTGAACTGGACGATGTGATAATTGGTGGAGAGTTGGGTAGAATTCGAACTTCTATCTGACCTCTGTTTGCCCGACCATTGGCATCCACACATTCAACTATAACACTATATACAGACACTTTCTCGTAATCTAACTGGTTGGTTCCAGGTACAAATTTTAGACAGTAGTTCGGCGCTAGAAAAAGATAGGGAAATTATTCTATATCATAGAATCATCGACAAATGATTGTCAACCAGTAAAACACAAGTACAGGTAAATTCGTTTTTCAGTCTTAAAGACACATTCTCACGAAATTATTTATTGGGTGGTTATTTCCAATAAAAGTATGGCAAATTTGCTATACATATATATGGAAAGTATAGACACCCAATCATAATAGAGAAATACTGGATTACTCGAAAAACACCAATGGGGAAAACACTGGGCAAAAATGTCAGGATATCACTAACTGACAAACCGACGGATTAATGTCTGCTACCTTGATTTATAAATTAGGGAGCGGTTGTTATTTCTTGATCAAAAGTTTAGGCGATTTTGAGAACATTGGCGGGTGTAAATGTATAACAGACTCTGTAATTAAATGGGCAGAAAATAATTCAAGAATTTACTTTGGCCCCAATACAATATGTATGGTACATAGACGAGTAATGACAAATACATTCTGTAAAATGGGCCCTCCCTCAATCAAATTAGGTGACAAACATGGCTTCTAAAAATAGATTTTTTATAGCTCGGGGTATCTTCTCGTGAAAACAAAATGGTTTGAAGACGTTTTTAGTCCAAATATATATCATCAAATCGCACTGTTTGTACGCGGGAAGGCATCTTTGATATATATTAGAAATTATCCTTTTAATTCAACGAAAATGAATTGTCTTTTCCTATCTGATGTCCTGTCCATAAAACTTTACACATCTTGTGAAAGAATATATACAGGTACAGATTAAGTGTAAGTAATAATTAAACATAAAATATAATTTATATTTTGGTACCATTCAATTTTATTTGCGATATAACCCTAGGTGAAAGCCAACATTAACCTCACCTAGCAGTAGTAGTAGTGCTAGTAGTAGTAGTAATAGTAGTAGTATGCAAAGTGTACTATTCACAAATTTGAAGCCATATTTGATATTTATAATTGTAGCGTATTGTTGATATATTCTGATGGTCATTGGAAACTGAATAAATTCATAATTCAATACTCACTACCATCCATTTCGTCTTCATCCCAGATATTAAAACAATTACCACACCCTGTCGACGGCGATACACTCACAAACCGCACTGTATATGGAACAACTCCTGTACATGTCAAACATTTTATGGTGGTAATGGCATTAGTCCCTTCTGGTAGATTACCATCCAGTGGCATATTTTCTAACATAGGGCCCTGATAAATAATTTTTAAAAAACATGGAATGCTTTGTACCTGCTGGAATAACACAGACGGGCATCTTACGAATGAAATTATCTGTATTGATATAGAGGACAGCTATTTGTGATTAATTATGGGGATTTTAATAAGAACGTATGTACAAGTGATCGCTTACACCAACTTAAATATAAATAATACGTAGCCCCCCCCCCGCACGCAAATACTCCATACGACCACATCTCAAAATGCGACAAGTAAAAGCCGCAAAGCAAACAAATACCCGCTAAACAAAACGATAAAAAATAACAACATATGTTTAAAATAAAACTGTCATAAAACAAAATTACCTGAGCCAGAAATGCATCGGATAAAAACAAAACGATGAACAAAAACGAAATAATCCACTGCATTATTCATAAACTTATTTGATCGGTTTTATTTCAGTCGTATTATATACTTGGTTCGCCATTGAATGACTCCTTGTTAAAACTCACCACTGAGTATTTGCCTTGACCCTTGGCCGGGTGATTTAAAGGGCCGTTTCAACAGCAAGAGTAACGCGTTACTAATTACTAGGGCGGATCAAGGTCGGGGCGGTTTGTCAGGGGTCGGGTCCCTAGACATTTTATATTTCCCAATTTTGAACATTTTTTGTAAATAAATCAATTTATATTTTTCTATTATTTGAGTGCATTTCAATTTTCGCACTGTCACGTGTCCATTTAAATATAATGATGTTATTGGTAAAACACCAAACCTGTTGTGTTGTTTATGGAAGACAAAATAATCTATTTTCACAACACATCTTAATGGCATGTGTAGGCCTAAGCCATAATCGTATTTACGCCTATGTTAGAATTAGTTATAATACGTTATAATAATGAAGTTTTGTGAGAATTGGAGGCCTATTGACATAAACAACAAGACATTGTTTGTTCATATAAAAGAGGGGTTTAACCAACTATACGACTATTTACAACTAGTCAAACCATCTTATGAAACATAATATTTTAGCCGATCATAAAACAACTTTGGCCGATGTTCAATTTTCCTTTTTAAATCCGAATCGTCGTATTTGAAGGGGGGGGGGGGCTTCAATTTGATGTGTCTATTCGGGTGTTTGGCAGTGAAGTTGTGTGGATAATGAAGATTTTAAAACAAGAGTAAGAACACAATGAAATAGAAAATATTGTTAATTTATAAGCTTATTGTAGCCTACACGCCCCTATATTTCTCAAGTACAGAATTTGAAAGTTTAATTACTGTTCTCCTTTTTTTACAGCGAGCAGCAACATTATTGGGATATAGAGAAGGGATAGCATTCTGCATGCTGGATTACACATTTTGCTTTCGTTTCTCACATTCGGTTTCCTCTTATATAGGACATCCATTGTAAAGGAAATTTGACAGTTGACAATGCATGATGGTATCATCGTCTCCAAATTACGTAGGCATACATACACACTGAGCTTTTTAAAGAGAGAAATCCAGAAATCAAACGCACCGTTTGACGTTTATTTTTTATCATGAATTCGCATTGTGATTCAAATATTTCATTGATGCAAAGCATTAATTGGGATATCACATTATGTCTATATCATTATCTCGCGCTTTGAATGCCCATCCCACCCCACCATCTGATGATACAGGATACAGCACATGGTTTACAATTTACTTATGTAGCCCCCCTCCACCCCTCTCTCTGGAACCTCCCCTGGTTCCGACGGTTTTCGGCAAAAGGGAGTAACTCTGGAATGCTTCACACGGACGATGGCATAAATTGTAGGCGTAAACCAATTATAAGTATGATGAGAAGCAGATTAATAGAGTCAAAATATTCCGACTTGCATCGATTCATTGATAGTTTCTTTTGATGTGAAACTGGAAAAATCCGACTTTCCTAAGGTTATGTTAGAAATACGTAATATAAGATTTACCGGTTCTTCAGTCGTGGTAGGGGTAGTGGTGGTAGGAACTGTTGTAGTGGTTGTGGTAGGTGTTGTTGTCGTTGGTGTTGTCGTGGTTGGGGTCGTTGTTGGAGTCGTGGTCGTAGGTGTGGTCGTGGTTGGGGTCGTGGTCGTTGTAGGAGTTGCGGTTGTGGGCGTAGTCGTAGTTGCAGTAGTCGTAGTAGTAGTAGGTGTTGTGGTCGTAGTAGTTGATGTTATTGGAGTCGCTTCTTGCTGAACCAAATCCTATGATTGTCGATTTAAAGTGTATATAAGCGTATATAAATAGTGAACACATAAAATAAGCATTGCCGAGGTACCGGGTGCTTTTAGATTAATTAAGATATAATGAGTTCAGGGACGTTGGTGCACAGTGATTTGGTCTCAGTAGTGCTGTGCTTTTATTTTTAATAATTTGAATTATTTATTATTTCACACTAACTACATGTAAATTCAATTCAAGTATGTATGCCTGTCGTATACAATTTTCAAGCAAATTGTGTATAGATTTGCTTTATCAACAACACCAGAAGCTACGCCTAAAATACTGTTTGAAATTCTAATAAAGTCTCCATAAATTGCTTCAGTATCTTAATGGAAAGGGCATTTACATGAGAATGAAACGAGTTTTAACCAAGAAGCTTCTTGGGTTTAACGGAGCCGTTGGCTCGCTAACCTGGAGGTCCCGTGTTCGATTCCGGTATTTGTCGAGAAAGTCTTTCGGGATTTTCCGGCGTGGTTCCCCCTTGTCAATGGCACAGAACTGAGGGACTGACAAGGAATGAAATGAAATGAAATGGGGTTTAAGGTCCTACTGTTCTGCTCCTAACCTGGGCTAATGAAGACGGGCATACGCCATACAGTGAGGTATGAGGAAAATTTTGCCCGGGTAGCGGCGCTACGGCCTACTCTTATATCGAATTCCAACCAACTGCCAAGGGATCTTTTACTTGCACGCCAATGTGTACACGGGACCTCGGTTTTTCGTCCCATTCGAACGACTAGACAGCTGTCCTTGTCAGGCCCTTCATCCTGCATCACTGACAAGGGGAAACCACGCCGGAAAATCTGAATGAACTTTCTCGGCCAATGCAGGGATCGAACACCCGACCTCCAGGCTAGCGAGCCAGCGTCTTACCCACTTAGCCACGTGAGCCCGACTGACAAGGAACATCGCATAGTCGCTCTGATAGGACGACAAACCGAGGCCGCGTGTAAACAATGACGTGAATGTAATTCGAAATAAGAGTAGGCCGCAGTGAAAGATTTCCCTCATGGCATACTGTATGTCGGAGCATAACAGTAGGACATTAAACCCGGGTTTATTTCATTTCTTGGGTTAAACGCCCTACCTTTCTGCACCCACCTGGATAATGAAGACAGGCATATCAAATAAACGAAATTTTACCTGGACAGCGGCTCTACGGCCTACTCGTATTTCGAATTCCATCTGCCAAGGGTTATTTAACGTGCTCACGGGAGCTTTGTGTGTCGTCCTCTTCAAACGACTAAACGCTGCTCCTTGCCTGGCCCACAAGCCTAAACCACTGACAAGAGGAAGTCGCCCCAGAAAATCTCTTTCTTGGCGAGAACCCGAGTACTCACTTGTAAAACGCCAGTTAGTTGTTGTAGCAACTTCGTAACTTCTAACGTAACATCCGCTAGTTTTTCATTTTCCTGAAACAGACATATTTAGAGTAACACATGTTTTTTGTTTCATTTTTAGTTCATCTATTTATCCAATGGTCCTTCCCTTGCGAACGAGTGAGCAAATTTAGAAATTGTTCAAATTTGGTAGGTACGTTTTTTTCATGCTCAAAATGCTTTGAGCGGGGGCTCCTTTAAAGGCTCAATACCACTCTTGTTGTAACTGAATAATATGTCCCAATCTTTATTCTGGTCAACAAATTGTACTATTTTACAATATTCCAATTAATTGATGATACAAATTTCATCTTAACACACCTAATTTAAAAAATTGGAAAAATTCAACTAAATGATTTGAAAGCTTTTCAAATGTGACTTGGATTTAAAAATATTTTTGAACCCTCTGGACATGTAAAATATGATTTAATGGATAATTTACACAACCGGTAGGACACTAACACATCTAGTACTTAGAATAAGGCTATTTTTTATTTTCTGGAGCTGTCAAGCCAGCAAGAGTGTTATTGTCTCTTTAAATCGTAGATTTATACATTTTTAATTTCTTTGTCTAAACCGTTGGGTTGGTTGGGTTTTAAAATGTAATTATTTTGCTTGTGTGATTTATTAAAACTAATTTATTTGTTCCCTTAGCAGTAGGTTGGGTATTCTGAAATAAAACAAGAGGTACACACTAAATCGTATTAGATTACCTGTGTATTGAATGCTGTAGTTAATGTGGCAATCGTAGTCGGAGCAGGTGTCGTAGTTGTAACGGCTGTCGTAGTTGACACTGGTCCTCCTGTCGCTGAGTTACCAACTAGATTCTGAAATATTGAAAAATTCGGTGGTGAATTGGACTCTAATTGGTAGTTCAGTGAATTAAGCGATTTTTATCAAGTTTTTCCGGACAACGAAATATAAAGAATGTTAGTGATCAGTAACGCACCGGAAGCAATCACAACAACTAGTTCGCCTGCCTAATCTGGTTATCCGACATACATTTAACGTCCCCTATACTCAATACTTCAGTGATGTCGAGACTAAAACATAGGTATATGTTCAATGTGGGGATAGGGAGATAACTTGGTCAGCTAAAGTTTCGCCTACTTCCTATAATTCCATTTCACAAAGGATATTTTACGTGAACTCCTTGTTTGTTCCACATTGTTTTTAAAAAAAGGTATTGGTAAAAGAGGGTTTCTGTGTTATGATTTTCCATCGCAAAATTGCCAAACAGAAGACTGGTTAAAGATGTGTCAGTCATTCGAACTCCAAATCAGAAAAACAGGAAAAATAACCTAAAATGTTAGACATAAATATTTCTGTCTATCAACATGTAAGCTCAATATCAGGTACAGCACAATATCAGACACAACTTTATATCAGATACAACTCGATATCAGATACTGCCCGATATCAGATACAGCTCGATAAAAGATACAGCAGGATACCAGATACAGCATGATGTATGATACAGGACGATATCAGATACAGCACGACATCAGATACAGAACGTGCATGACTATGACGTAGTGTGTGAAAGTCACAGATTTCGTCTTCTAATCTGTAACATGTCGGCTGATCGCATTTTAATAGAAATTCACATGATTGTTATCAGAAAATTTATAAAAGAGAAAATTATTCTTAGGAGTTTGGATATATCAACCAGTAGCGTAATGATCTATATCATTTATTTCCCTCATAAATATTATCTTTTATTGACTTACCTGTAAAATACCTGTTAGCTCTTCAAGGAGATTTGTGACGTCCTCTACCGTATTGCTCTGCTGCAATTAACAATTGAAATAGGTGGTAGATAATTGAATTGCTTTGGTTTCTTATTTTGAACTAAAAATCCAAACCAGGAATCAAAATAAAGATTCCAATGATGGTAACAAGTGGACTCGCCTTATGAGAAAAATATAACAATTGAAAGTGGTATCCGGTCTAATTGTTGTGTTCCAGTTTTTCGCTACATGAAGATCTAACAACTTCCTTATTAATTTACATGCTTTTTTTCAAGCCTGACGTCAGCTACTTTGATTGGTTAAAAACATATTTGCCCAAGTCAAATCATCTCTGCATCGGCGGGATGTGTGATCAGGTTATGTCATTTGAACACAAATGTCTTTCAAATGTTGTCAGATCTTTTACTATAGTACAAATAAATAAATAAAACCAAAGTAAAAGTACGGAGTTATTTTAATTAGATTGATCATGAAAGAGGTTATGTTAAAATTTATGAAGAATTCTTTTTTTTAAGGATATAATATATAATACAATCTTTGGTAAATCTACTAACAAACTAATAAATATGTCGGCTCTGGATCCATTCGCTTTATTTATATCATTATTACTTACAATGTCCGTGTGTTATAATATGGGTGTGGTACGTCGTGTCCGCGGGCTCGTCTTTTGGTTTTCCGTTTTATGCGTGGTGCGATTCTCCTGCACTTACTTTTAGAAAGCGTGTTCTCTTATATGAAAGGGTGCTGAATAATTAAGGAAAGGATGTTATTTTGTCATTAAAGTTATGAATGATCACCGCGAATTCGAATTTGATTCGCCACGCTGGGATCAACCAATTTGTGGTCTTAATTCTCTGATATATCGTTAAAATAAAACTTACCTGCCCAAATCCTTGCTTTAAAATTAAAAACCAACAAAAACACAAAATTAAGCATCTTAATATCTCCATCTTTATATTTCAGAGATATATTTTAAACTTGATTTGAATGAGAAGGGTATTTTACGTAAACGAGTCTAGGAAAACCTCGACAATTTACACTGTAAAATAACATTCATCATTTAACATAAATCTTTATACCACGAGGGTTATATACATGTATATTTGTCAAGACAATTTAACAACCACGGTATGAATACCGGTCTCTACATGCCTTTAATAAAATAGCCTGTCGTTATTTTAACGCGTAGCCAGAGGCAGGGAGTGAGAACGCTATATGCGTACTCGAATATCAAAATTTCTTTGGAAAATCATCACTCCTGAGAGTCTGGACCTGCGGCACTTTTATAGCAATTTCTTTTTTTTAACTGCCACTTTCAAAATAATTGTAATGAGTTGTATATAAACGAATCTTAAAAACATGCTAGTTTGCTCCTATTGCTAGATATGTTATTCTTTTCTATATGGTCTATTTTTTGTATTAGATATCCATGTGCTTGTAAATTTACACTAATAACTTAACAGTGTTGTCTATGTTCTCAGTCAGTTAAAGATTATTAGTATATATACCTACTATTTATATTGGTCTACCTGTATGTTATGATTGTTTATTGTTCACTTAATACATACCTATATTCTATAATTGTTTATTGCTCGATTAACTGCTAAAAGCGAAGCTTATACTAAAATATAAGATACGGTCCTGTATTAAACCGATTCTTTGTTAGATGTTAGACGCCCCCCACCCACAATAATAAACTCATTGTATGAGCGAAATCAACTGATATAATACGTCTCTCAAAAAAGAGCCGCGCTTTTTCAGTGAGTAAGTTCATCGGGATTTTCTTGTGTCGTTCTTCCTTGTCAGTTGGGGGGTTGGATGGCCGAATGGTTAGCACGCGCGCGCTGTATCATACGGTCTGTCGATTCCCCGGTTGTACGTGACAAGGAGTAGGGTCGCCTGTCCAACCTCGTGGGGTTTCTCCGGGTCCTCCGGTTTCCTCCCACTGCTAAAGACCCCTACGCGCAAGCGAATTATTGAAATAAAATTGAACCATGTGTTAGTCCCAAAATGACCTAGTTTGTGTCGAGTGGACGTTAAACCCCATCTCTCTCTCTCTCTCTCTCTCTCCTTGTCAGTTGTGTAGGGCGGAGGGTCTGGCAAGAGACAACACATAGTTGTTCGGGTGTACACCTCGGCGTGTTCATAAAATAACTTTGAGGTTTGGAACTCGAAATAAGAGTAGGTCGTTGCGGTGCTGTCCGGGCAGAATTTCTCTCCTGGTGTATGCCCAACTTCATTAGTCCAGTCGGTGCAGCAAAGTAGGACGTTTAACCCATTTAATTTCATTCAAAAAAATGTAAGGAGATAATTATCCGAAAAAACTAGTACAACTTTATATTTCCAAAATTATTAATCCATATTCTGAGAAATTCATATTTATGTAAATTCTTATTGGAAGAATGTTTTATATATAGTAAGTATATGCGAAAATACATTCTTAATAAAGTTACTGCCATCAGGTTACAATCTGGCATTTCCCGATCCATATGAATATTCACGAAACCCTGGCGGAAAATGTAAATTCAAATACTCTTTTTCGATTCTATACAACAAATTGCAGTCTTACAAAAGGTAAAAAACAAAGAATTGCTATAAAAATGGGCGAACTACATTCATGAACTCACAGGAAATATTCACTAGATAATTACAGGTTTTGTTCCTAATTCTAATTCGTAAATTTTATTTTCCGCCCGCTTGCTTCTATTGAGAAAACTTCGATTTGTGGAGCTCATTTCACATGCTGTAAAAGTCAAAAGGAACAGATGAAGATAACAAAGATTCCGAAACGGTTCTGAATTTGATCAGATGTCATCTTTATTAGTCAACTAGCAGGATACCCGGCTTCGCTCGGGGGTCATAACTCCGAAACCGGAAGTAGTAGACTAACGCCACCTGGCCTATGTTACTCCCCGGTCCGAGATACCCCTATACCCCAAATTTCAGACTCGGGGCAGACCTAGTGTAGCCGCCAACCCCGAACAGACAGACTTCGCTCGGGGGTCATAACTCCGAAACCGGAAGTGGTAGAATAACGCCACCTGGCCTATGTTATTCCCCGGTCTGAGCTACCCCTATACCCCAAATTTCAGACTCGGGGCATATGTAGCCGCCAACCCCGAACAGACAGACTTCGCTCGGGGGGGTCATAACTCCGAAACCTGAAGTGGTAGACTAACGCCACCTGGCCTATGTTACTCCCCGGTCCGAGCTACCCCTTTACCCCAAATTTCAGACTCGGGGCAAACCTAGTGTAGCCGCTAACCCCGAACAGACCGGCTTCGGTCGGGGGTCATAACTCCGAAACCGGAAGTGGTAGACTAACGCCACCTGGCCTATGTTACTCCCCGGTCCGAGCTACCCCTATACCCCAAATTTCAGACTTGGGGCAGACCTAGTGTAGCCGCCAACTCCGAACAGACAGACAGACAGACAGACAAACGACAGTCACAAATATTAGTATAGATAGATGAACAATATAGCCATGAATTAACACCAACCAGCGCCATGCTTTGTGCTATGAGGAAGTTTTGCCCTGGACAAGCCCCCCACCCCACCCCCACCCTCCACACTTTTGTACACGTACAACAACCATTGACAACTCGAATTTGTTTAAGAGCATGTTGTAACACCACTGACCAGGCAATATTGTACACCTGATCCTAGAAAACATAACCGTACATTAGTTTCGAAATGACAAGACGTGGAATTTCATTCCCTCCCATCCCTTACACTGAATTAACAAGCATTATGAACTCAAGGACCAGCAAAACCATGCTATATTACTATAGGGTGTTAGACAGTAAAGATTCAACACATAGATAAAAATAATTTATTTAAGGAAATATACAAATTAGTGGGTTCTACAGTACGGAGGTTTTTATAGTTTAAAGGTCCTGCTGTGGACTGAAAGATTACAAAATTCCGTTTTATGTAGTAGGCGTAATACGAATGTTCATCGACTGAATATAATATTCCACCGCCAGGCGTTGTTATATGTCTGAAATAACTTATATAGGCCTATAACGATTTGTGGTTTGTTCACAATATTTGTATTCGATTATCGAATCGTTTGACTATCGGACCTTCGGTTTATTGGAGCAACTATCGGACTATATAACTTGTACACTCTTAGCATATCATATACAAGATAAAAAAGTAAATTTACAATAGAGGTAGACTGCAATAATTTTTAACTCCCTTCAATCTGAACCTGATCAACCAAAGTTTAATGTTTATTTTTTTTACAACATACACCGATCGAATATATTTTTTGTTTGGCTGTGGATCATACGTTTTTGAATCTATTATAGTCCCATTTTAACGTTGGTAACATCAGAAAAGCCCACACACTATTAATGAACTAACATTAATAATGGACAAACACTATTAATGAACACACATTGATAACAGACAAACACTACTAATGGACAAACTCTATTTATGGATAAACGTTAACAATGGACAAACATTAATAATGCACAAACTCATTAATGGACAAACATTCAGTCAAGATAATATCAACTATAGGACACAGGCGTGAATCCAGGAATTGGAATTGAAGTGGAATAGTTTTTGGTTCTTTCCCCAACTACATGACCACCAAAACACTCTCTGGAAAGGTAGGTGTGGGTGGGGCTATTTTTGGACTTCTAATTGACAGATTTGTATTAAATAATTGACTTGGTTACTTTTATTTAAGACGTGTTATTATTTTAAATACACGGGTTGAAGATTGGTCTTTCTATTCCCCCACCCCACCCCCAAGATACTAGTAGATAGAGTCTTTCAAAATATTATGGTATGATACGACCGACATTATAATTCATTTTAAAGCTGATACTTTGGTTCTATAGTGGATAACGATAATGTAACTCAAAAAGCATGGAAACCAAATGAATTTAAATCGGTGGTCTTCTTGTATCACATGAAATTCCATACGTAATAACGTTCCTTGTGTTAGAAATACATTCCTTAGCAAGTATAGTATATCACAGTTATTGGGGATGTTTTTTAAACTTAAAGAAACCATTCGTCTTTAAATAATAAGAAATATATAGGATGTATACACCGTCTTAAATATTTTAACTGCGATATATAAATCTACAGTAAGGACAATAGGTCTGTAACTTTTTATAATTATTAATTTGTAAAACATGTTGGCACTAAGTAACATCTAAGCTTTATCCACAGTTGCTGGTAACGACTTTCTACTGGGTGTGGTCCCTAAATCTTTATCCATATAATCTGAAAAGAAAACAGGACATAATTTCAAAATGTTGTCTATTACATAAGTGCAAATCTGAAGAGCGGTTCATAAGGTCTGTCACTGAGTCAAGTGGCGTGGTTTCGATTCCTCGCCTGTACGTGACAAGGAGTAGGGTAGCCTGTCCAACATCGTGGGTTTTCTCACACTGCTAAAGACCCCTACACGCAATAAAATTGAACCATATGTTAGTCCCAAGTGTCGAGTGAACGTTAAACTCCATTTCTCTCTCTATCTCTCTCTCTCTAAATCTTCACATTGCTCATATACAGAGTTTGATGATATTGAGTATTGTGAGTTAAAATTGTTAGAGTTTGTAATTAGATATCACTGGTTAATCAGTAAGGTAAAAGACTGGTCAATCACAGTATTATAATAATTGATGTCAACTATTGAAAACAGTAAATACATTGTCAACAGTTATGCCGGAAAAGGATAAGATGCAGAACTGCACCAAAAGTACGCTTCGTAGGATCGTATGACTTATTAGACCGGAACTAAGTATTACTAAATATTATTATGTCACTGGCTTTAGTTAAATGAAACACGTTGTTGTACAATTAAAATCCTTAACTTAAACATGTGACATATGCATTTATCTTATAAAACATATACCGGTAGTCGCGATATGTGTGGATTAGTATAATATGCGACAACATTAATTGTTAGAATAAAACTTAGTTAACCAAGCTTCCATACTAACAGTTGGCTATATATATACGTCAATACTGTAGAGCGTATATCTAAATATCATACTCACGTTCTTTCCAGTAGTCATCCACTTTCGCATCCCCATCTCCAACAATTACTCCTTCACCGCCCCCATAACCATAATCTCCACCTCCCGCTGAACCATACCCATATCCCCCTCCTCCACCCCCCGAACCATACCCATACCCACCACCGCCGCCGCCATATCCCGATTCACTAAAAGCAGCGTGTTCTTCAACAAAGCCGCCATACTTGATACGATATCCTCCGATCATTTTGGCCTTCTTGCCTTCACCGAATCCGGCATCTTCTTCGACCACTCCACCTTCGCCGCCCTTGTTGGCTCCTGGTCCACCAGTATCACCACTCAGCTTACTGGGTTTGATCTGATTAGATTTCAGAGGACTGTAAAAACAAGTAAAGCATTGACCTAAGTGTACAAAATTCCTGATAATTGTTTGTTTCCTGAAGTGAAAACATATAAAAGTTTAGTTTAGCATCCATACGTAGTAATAACGCCAAGATCTATGATATAATTCCAAGAATGGGAGCACAACCATCTGTACAAGATTGTATTCTGTGCTATCGTTGGACGTGAAGAAATAGATGAATGTATTACAAACCAGAGTTTGGTATAATATTATTCATGCATAAAGAAAATTTGAGTTAAATTTCAAACCTTTTGTATAGTTCTTAAAATATTTGGCTTAAAGGGCCAATCTCGATAATATTTTGTAGATTAAAACTGCTTAATTTTTATGTTAAAAGCCCTTAAAATCCCCTATCTTAGGACCGTGTAACTAGCTCAATATACGTGATACGTTTTTAAACACTTAAACCCGTCAGTCTTCATCTGGACAAGGAGACTGGTGCCCTAAGCTGTATTATGTGGTGTATGGATAAAATCAGACTTTTATTTTATAAAAATAACGTGTAGGTGAAATATACCTTTCGTTATCAAGTAGAGCACGTGGGTCATGCACTGTATAGACCTCTAAAAGAATGGCAATCGATTACCAGGTCACCCAACGAAAAAAATTGACCCGAAATCTTAAAAGACTTACGTGTCCGGATAAGCGGGTTTGACGTTCACGTCCAAACAACTCGATATTTTGAGCTGAAATTTTGAGACAAGGTAAATACGCCATTCGTAAACAAACTTTTAATTTTGAGACTGTTCAAATCGGGATAGTCCCTTTAATTGAAAACTAGAATATAAACAAAAGTCCAAAGCTTTTGCATAAAACTAATTTACACAATTACAGATTTCTGTATCTGCTGCGACAAGCAATTCGGGTCCTAAACGACCACCTAGAATCACGAATCTTGACAAAAATCTGAAGTTGCTGTCGTTGCATTATGCTTCCGCAACTGTAGCATGATTATTTGGATTAGGCACCTCAATATAGGGAGCTGGTGTCAGACAAGGAATTCCGCGAAGAGTTATGATCTCCGTGTTGACTTGACATTAATTTGATCTGAAAATTAAAATTACTTATAATCAATTTTACAGGGAACTTACGGATTTCTGTATCTATAGCAGAGGTTGCTACAACATGGTCCGCAAAATCTATACAATAGATAACCCAGCAGCCCAAGTAATGCTAGTCCAAGAAGGCCACCTAGAATCGCACCTACAACATTCCACGGATTGTCAAAAAAACTGGTAGCAGTTGCTGTCGCGCCGGCGAATGCTCCTGCAGTTGTAGCTGGAGGTAGTGGGATTAGATTGGTCACTACAATTGGAGGAGCTGTTGTTGGACAAGGAACTCCGCGAAGAGTTATGGTTTCTGTCTCGCTTACTAATGGTGGCTCTCCTCTATCGGTCGACTGGACAGTTAAAACCTCTGTTTGACCTGCAAGATAATTATACTTACTTAATAAAAAGTATTTTGCGTCTAGCACGCAGACCTATGCCACATCCACTATTTACAGGTTCAATCTTACCTTTTTCCTTAGAATTTGGATCTTTGCAGTCATTCAAGCCCCAGAGTAGCCGTCCAAGATATATTTCAGTGAATCAAACTGCCAGTATAGATAGCCGCAAGGATAAATATTCGTACCAATTACCAAGCCACTCATACACTAAATGAACAATGGAATTCCTAAAACGGGTTACGTACCCGCTATTAAAATCTAGCACCGCTTAATACTTTAACCTGATTTAGCTCTTGCATAATATATGTTTAACTCGATGGTGGGCGCGTAAACTATTTGTTGCATTAATAATGGGATTGCACATTCCCTCCACACTACTAGTCAGGCGATCTCATTCATTTTCGCTTATGGGTTCGAATCGATGGCAGGCATAGTATAGATAACGAACCTTGTGGTTTAAAAGCGCACTAATTAGATCTTCGGACACCTAACCGAAGAAAACAAATTTATGAAGATTGGGATTTAACAACACGAAGACAATATAACGGTTGCCTGTATCCGCCCCAAGCACCAAATGAAATGAAATAGGATTTAACGTCCTACTGTCCTGCACCGACTGGGTTGATGGAGGCGGGCATATGCCATACTGTGCGCACTACGGCCTATACAAATTCCGAATTCCATCTGTCAAGGGTTCTTTTACGGGTACACCAAGGTGTACACGGGATATCGGCATTTTTCCATCCGAACGACTATTCGTTGTCCCTTGCAGGCCTTGCGTCCTTCACCACTGATAAGGGAGAAACCACCCCGGAAAATCCCGATGAAATTTCTCGGCCAACACCGCGTTTAAACACGAGAACCAACATCTTACTCGCCGAGGCACTGCGACTCCCCTGCCTCATATACACTCCATTAATCATGTATTTATTATTAATAGCAGGACATTAATATTACCATGGACCGTGTATAGATGGACAGACAACGCCCACGAAGCCATTAGAATTCTGTGCCGCGGCAAAAAATAGACCGGACAATCGTGACTAAAATAAAATTACCTCCCCTCGCGCAATTACCAGTATTAAGTTTAAAAACAAGGAAACAGAAATCAATTCATATTATTTTTGCTACTCTTTTTTTGCAACCCATACATAGATAGACTACTAACTGATGATTGGGGCGTATCAACACATAGTCTTTGTTTACTTCGGACGCGCCCATGTGAATCCGAAAATAACATGTCGAGTTTTCATTTAAAAACAAATCTACTAAAACACTCTTTTAATTTTTACTTCTGCACAATTAATCATCATTTCGGACAGTATTATACCTGAACTTTATTTTCATAATTTTAAAATCCTTCATACATGCGGGAATTTGGAGAAATTCGTCACTACCGGATAGGAATACTTATCGAGTTGAAAAAATACCATTTAACTACCATTTAGAATACCGTAAATTCCAAGGAGGAGTTCAAGAAATTAATTTGTATAAAATCCCGCTATGTCAAAAATCACATCGCTTGATTTGCCGTTGACATTGAGATCTCGTCGTGTCTCGCCTTAACACATTTCCGATTGGATTAATAATAATAATAATAAGTTCTTTATTTTTTAAAGGGTGAAAAATTAGGCTTTGCAGCCTGTTTACAATTCTGCCCTTAAATGACAATAGACAAAACAAACATACACATATATTATACATACAAGGAAACTGAATAATGAAAATGTATTCTTTACATTCCAAATAACATCAAATGCAGAAACCGATAATGGTTTAAATTTAAATATACAGAATAGTTATATAACATTTTTGGATATAATTATGCAGTGATTTTTTAAAAGTTGAGAGAACATGTAATGAGTTTAAATTATTTGGAAGTGAATTCCATAAAACTGGTCCATTATAACTAAGACTATGTTTAAATTTAGTACAATTTGGATGTGGAATTTGTAATTTAAGAATTATAGAGTTGTAAGGAGTATTTTTAAATTGAAATAAGGAACACAAGTAATTTGGACTTTTATAGTTTAATATTTTGAACAGAAATATATATTTATTCATTAAATGACGTTGTTGAATGGTAGGCAGTTTTAAAGATTTTGAAAGAATGGAATATGAAGAATCAGAAGAATTATATTTAATAATAGGTTTGTTGAATATAATTTTAAATGATAATTTTTGGATAATTTTAAGTTTATTAAGAGAAGAAATTTGACAGGAGTCCCAAATGGTAGAGCAGTAGTCAAGATGTGATTGAAAGTGGGCGTTATAAAATAATTTTAATACATCAGTTGGAAGTAATGATTTGATTTTCCTAAGTTGAAAGTTTTTCTGTTTTAAAATAGTACATAAATGGTTTACATGAGTGTCCCAAGAAAGATTAGAGTCAAAATATACTCCTAAGAGTTTAAAGTCAGAAACGTGTTCAATGAAGGTAGAATTAATAGAAATGGACAAATGTGTAGATAAGGAATTTATTTTAGGTTTTGAAGCAATAATCATACATTTAGTTTTAGATTCATTGATGATCATGTCATTGGAGTTGCACCATTGTATGATTTTATCAGTTTCTGGCTGAAGTGTAGAGTTAAGAGAATCAAAATTGGTAGAAGAAGAATATACAGTGGTATCATCAGCAAAAAGATCACATTGAGCTGTCAAATTTAGAGGAAGGTCATTAATGAACAGATTAAATAGTAGTGGTCCAAGAATGGAGCCTTGAGGAACACCATGGGTTGTGAGATCAAGAGAGGACTTGGTTTCACCAATTTGAGTGCATTGATAACGCTCAGATAAGTACGATTCTAATAATGTGCATAATTTGGTAGAAATTTGGTATAATTTTAGTTTCTCAAGTAACAGGGAGTGATTGGCCATATCAAAGGCTTTACGGAAATCAAAGAATACTAAACCAGTGTATTGACCTTTATTAATGGCAGAATAAACATTTTCTGCAATATTTGTAAGGGCAGTATGACAAGAAAATTTGGACCTAAAACCAGACTGATGAGAATAAAGTAAATCGTGATCCAGGAGAAAGTTATTAATGTGTTTACAAATATGCTTTTCCAAGGGTTTAGAAATAGTTTGAAGTATAGATATGGGGCGATAATTATTGGGCTGGGATTTTGGACCTGATTTATATAATGGAAGAACTTTAGCCTGTTTGAGGGTGGACGGAAAATATTCTTATCTATACAAAGATTATAAATAAATGTCAGTGAATCACAAAGAATTGGAGCACCAAGTTTAAGAAAATGAGGACCAACTTGATCTAATCCTATTGATTTGGAAGTATCAAGAGAATGAAGATATTGGAATACGTCACATTTTGATATGTAGGGAAGATGACACAAGGTATTGTTTTCAAGATGATTAGATACAAATGTAGATATCACAATAGAGGTAAAACGATCTAAACGATTTGATGGACTAGGTATAATGGACTTTGCAACATTAACAAAATGAGCATTAAAAATATCAGGGGCAACAAGAATGGAAGAACAATCATGAGATTTACCCTCAGAATTAGCAGTATTGATGGCTTTCCAAATTTGTTTACTGTTTTTGCGATCAGTGACTAATAATTCAAGACATTTGCTTTTATTACTACGAATAAGAGATTTAACTTTATTACGAAAATGTTTAAATTGCAGAGTATTGCCTTTTTTCTTATGAAAATCACGTTCATGAATATAATGAAACACTTCAGGGGTTATCCAATCAGGTTTATGAACATTTTTGACTCGTTTGGTTTTTAAAGGGACATGTTTATTAATAATGGGCTGTGTAATATCATACCAGTTGTCTAGTGCAGTATTAGGATCACAGTGATCATATATAGAATTATATGGAGCCCGTTGTAAATCATAGAGGAATAAATCATTATTAAAATGTTTAAATGAGCGATAAGTAATATTAGTATGTGAAGATTTGGGAATTTTACACCTTTCTTTTGCCAAGTAAAACAAATAGGGAAATGGTCTGATATTGAGTATTGAAGGAACAATAGATTCTTTGACATGTTCAGTTTCAGATACAAATATATGATCAATTAGTGATTTAGAGGAAGAAGTAATTCTAGTAGGTGACCTAATAATTTGATGTAGACCATATATTTCAAGAAGATCGGTCCATGATTTATTATGATTATGTAATAAGTCAATATTTAAATCTCCTAATGATAGTATCTCACAGTGAGAATTCCATGCTTTTTCTATCATAAATGAGAAGTCAGTATTCCAGGAAGATAAGGAAGAGGGATTACGATAAATATTAGAAAGTAATAATGGTTTAGAGTGTTTAGGAGTAATTTCTATCCATTTGGCCTCAATATTATCATGTTCTAAATGTAACCTACGATTACATATGATATGATTTCTAACATACAGAAGTGTTCCATAGGAACTTACATTACAAGAATCTTTCCTAAAAGGTTGTTGAAAGTTTGGGATTGAAATATCTTCATTAGTCACAGATATATCTAAATGTGACTCAGATATATCTGTGACTAATGAAGATATTTCAATCCCAAACTTTCAACAACCTTTTAAGAAAGATTGCTATGAAGGTTGCTGCGTTCAACTATATGTTAGTCCCGAAATGATCTAGGTTGGTTTGTGTCGAGTGGACGTTAAACCTCATCTCTCTGCAAAACATTTCATGTAGACACCCTCACTTTAAACGGCAGCCAATCGTGTATAACATTACTTTGTCTCAGTCGGTATCCGTCTAAAATTCCACTATTTCGTCATACGCGATATACTGGATAGTAAAAGCTCTATTACAATAATATGACACTCCCGTATCTTGCGACATACTTATATCACGTGACTTAATACGTATTTAACGGGTGCAAACTCTATTGTGAAAATCCTGTTTGAAATAAGTCATTCTCCATTTAAAGAAAACCACTGGGACAGAGAAGTCGTTTATATTATCTGTTAGTTTAAAATTATCAAGCGATGTAAGTGTTTCATTTTATTTTGTGCTTAGATTTTTAACTCATCTTCGAATCCCCGGTTGTACGTGACAAGGAGTAGGGTCGCCTGTCCAACCTCGTGGGTTTTCTCCGGGTCCTCCGGTTTCCTCCCACTGCTAAAGAGCCCTACGCGCAAGCGAATAATGTAAATAAAATTAAACCATATGTTAGTCCCGAAATGACCTAGTTTGTGTCGAGTGGACGTTAAACCCCATTTCTCTCTCTCTCTCTTTTAACTCATCATATATTTATATATATATATTATATTTTATATAGGCTATAAGTTGTTCCTAAACTTAATCCCCCCCCTACACACACACACACACACCATCACCACCACCAAAAGAAACTTCCCTAAACCATGGGGTTTCGTTTTCTATTTAAAACAAATAATAATAACTGCCGTCTTTGTGAGGTTTTTTTGTTTTGGTTTTGGTTTTTGTTTTGGTTTCGGACATTTTCTCTGATAGTATTAAAATATAAATAGTTATTTTTAATTACATCTAATCGAAAATGCCTTGGTTGTGCAAAAGCGCGATATTTTAAAATAAATCTGAAGTACAACCTGATTAGTATAATAAATAGCAAAAAAACTATTATTAATTTATTTTTTTATTTGAGTAAAACATGGCCGTGTGAAATCAATAAAGCCAATGTAAATTTAAATGACCATTGGTGGTATATATTACCTCAGCTATATCATTTATACAATCTGATTAAAATACAGATCTATATTTCGTTTCGTTTTTTTATACTTTCGATGGCCTACACTACAAGTGTAGTAAAGACAAGTAAAACGAAATTTTGAACTATAAAAACGAATCGAAATAGGATCTGTGTTTTAACCAGATTGATCATTTATACTATCACTTCCGAAATCATTGACCTATTACGGCTTTTATCAAAAAGAAAATATCAGATGTAATAGAATATATCGGATTATTTATTTAATGCATTCATATGTTTATAGTAAATTCCATATTCATTAAATTCATGTATGTTCTTTACAGGTTAGGAGCTATTGGTTCCGTTTTTGGATCCGTAGCCAAATTAACCGGAATAAACGCACCCCAAGATGACGACTTTGTTGACAGGTTAAATCACGTGATCACGGTTTCGATATTTAGCTTATTCGCCATATTTGTGACAACAAGACAATTTGCTGGTGATCCAATCAACTGTTGGTTGAGCGACGAATACAAAGACTCACATGTAAGATATTTATAAGTGTATATATTTGACATCGAGGGCTTATACATGTATTCCCACCGTAAGTGCACAATGTGGACTATAATTTGCCTTTGAACGTATGAATGCCTATTTTAACATATTTCAAATGTTCACAGACGCATACAAACGGCGAGTCAAAACCAATATAAACTAATGTAAACTTCAAATGGGCATACTTTACGTTAACATGTAGCCATTAAAATGAATGTTATGTACGTGGGGTGGGGGTGTTTAGAATAGGGTTTAAAGATGCATAATGTAAGGGGGTGTTGAGAATAGGGTTTAAAGATGCATTATGTATAAGAGCTAAATCTACCTATTGCAGGCCGTTCTTTTGACCTCAAATGTTATATAAATTATTAATTAGACATTTACTAACATGTCAAGACCATAATCAAGTCTCTAGAACATCTGATGCTCGCGATTTTCAATAGATTGAAACAGGGTCATCATTTGATAAATTAATTAAATAATGGATAATCAACAATTATATGGAATACAAGTTACTTAGAAGTTTTATATCTTTGCTCGAAACATCACCGCAAATTAATTTCTAAGTAACGCGAATCCCATATAATTGTGTCATGTGTTATCTTCAGCTTAACTCCACCATTCACCACACATTTAACTTTTATTTCCGGTTTGTTGTCATGGAAGGAAATGTAGGTCAAAACATTGATTATTGCTTTCCGGCATAGCAAAGTCAAGACTATAGTCACGTAATTGGAACCAAGCAACAATCGTATTATATTAATAAAGATAAATCTAATGATGGGTTTTCTTTCAGAAAAGTTACATACACAGTTATTGCTGGATACAGAACACGTATAAAGTCAGTTGGGATGGAATTATACCACAAGATGAGAAAGAACGTCAGATGACCAGCATTAAATATTATCAATGGGTTCCTGTCATACTTATGTTCCAGATTCTACTATTCAAACTACCCAACGTCTTCTGGAAAGTTCTTAATGAACTATCGGGAATAAATATCGAAAAGATTGGTCAGCTAGCGGAAAATACTCAGATCGGGGATATGGAATCGAGGGATACCGAAATCAAAAACCTAGCAACGTGCATCTCACGATGGCTGATCTACAAACGAGAGCATCGTTACAACGTTTTTTCACGCCTGCGCAGTAAGATAAGTCGGTTTAGCGTCATCTTATTTTTTCTTGGACTCAGGAACGGAACCTACCTTGTTGGATTATACATGTTTACCAAACTACTTTATTTTGTTAATGTCGTGGCTCAGTTTTATATGTTAAACACATTTTTATCGGACGATTTTAGTATGTATGGCATTGAAGTTATCCGCCACTTGCGAGATGTGGGAGAAATCAAAGATTCCGAATTCTTTCCAAAAATCACATTCTGTGACTTTTATGTTAGGCAAATGACAAATGTGCAGCCCCACACAACCCAGTGTGTTCTTCCTATAAATCTGTTTACCGAAAAGATCTATATATTTATTTGGTTTTGGATGTTTTTCCTCGCCATGGCGAATGGTTACAGTTTTCTTCGCTGGCTATACAAAGTTGTTTTTAGAAAAAATCGAAAGGATTACGTTGAAAAATATCTCTCCGCGTGCATTGACGTTTCACAACATGAAGCTCAAGTATCACAATTTATTGACGTCTTTTTACGAGACGATGGTGTCTTTTTATTGCGCGTGGTATGCAACAATTCTACGCCCCTGGTCATGATGGATCTTATTAAAGAGTTATGGGCCTTGTTTGTAGCCAGTAACTTTTGCAAAAAGGATGAATTAACCAAACCCCTGTATCCTAATATTCAAGAAAACCCCATAGACACAATTGGTGCATTACCCCTTAAGGAACAACTTCACTGATAGTAAAACCTTTTGACCTGTTCCAGATGTGATATCGCAGACAAACACTGCAATATCCACGCTTGGAAAATAAAGCATAATGAAGGTATGAGGTCACGTATGCCCAGTTTGTATAGACTATTCACAAATGTGTTGCAATACCCCCACCCCTAAAAATAATTGTACCTGAAAACATGTTGTTACTCTTCTAGTACTAGGCATAGTGATGACAAATGTTCATTTCATTAGTCAGATTATTGACTGTAAAGAGGCATTATAACTGGGACCAAGAAAATAAAAAATAATTTAATGTAAACAATATCATATTTAGTGAACTATTTAGAGTAGTTGTTAACTCATTAAACACCACCAAAACTTGATACAACAGTCCCTTAATTAAAGGTTGAAACGTCGGTATATCAGCGATGGTTTGACATATTTATCTCAAATTATGCATACAACAATTTTACTCCGAACACCCCAAATGTAACTAGTCAAATCATGTCAAACTTAACATTATTTTGGAAGGTGTAAAAAGCGCCAATGTCCTTTTAAAGATGAGCGAAAGTAGTCCCAAAGAATTATAATTTGTTAACTGTTATATTTACTATCTGGGTTACTCCACAACCTTTAAGAATATTATCTCTTGTGATTTTCTTTATAAAATTTTGTTTGACAATTGGTAAATAAGGGTGTATTTGATTGAACCAAATCCGGGTGGCGCCGCATCCGGGTTCGTATATATTCGGTCAAACTTGTAATGATATCGTTGATTCTTCATTGTATGAATTCATGTAACAATAGGATATCAAATATCACTACTCTTAAACAATGATTCTTGATTGTAATTATAAATCCAGATTGGGATTCTCACGCAATACGACCATCTTGTTATTGTATTATTTTTAGCTACATGTACTAACAGGATGACTAGTCATTTTAAACGGATATATCCACCCAATTTAATCTCCATTTTATATTCAAAAGAAAGATTTACATGAAATTTTAAAGATTCTTTCCGCGTTATATCCCACCATAAGTCCTAATAATTTCATATATATAGTATTCTGTTGTATTGGTTTTTGGCCCGATATTAACATACACATCAAAGAAAAATAATCAGTTTTTGTATGCATTTTTATATACTTTATAGACTTATTTTTTATATCTATATACACATACTTGTCTATCAAAAGTATTATTATTGTTGTTTATATGTTTGTTATTAAATTTTAATATGTAAAAAGGTGTTTTGTTTTATAATGTAAAAAAAAAGTAACTGTCTTAAAATTGAATTGCTGAACCACTGGTAACAAGCTTTATCACAGTTAGGTAATGTATGTACGCTTTAGATTCTAAGGTCTATCATCGTGACTGATTTGTACGTGACAACGCGAAGGGTCGCCTATTTAACCTCATGAGTTTTTTTCTGGGTCCTGGGTCCACCCACTGCTAAAAAATGGCATAGTTTGTGTTCATCGGATTTTACACCCATCTCTGGCGGTGCTTCAGTTTCTTATCAGTGGACTAAGCAGTGTAACTCTTTACTCCGCGCCCTCTTACGTGTTATTGCAAGTATCACCTGCAAGACTCGGACGTCCACACCAGAGTCTTCAATGTCCACTCTGCAGTATCACTTTATTAATTCAGACTAAAAGAAACTGATTTTATTGAATGCATTGTGTTTAAACCCGGTGTTGGCCGAGAAAGTTCATTGGGATTTTTCGGGTAGGCAGTGTGTGCTAGGCAGTCTAGCCTTTATGTTTTCTCGATATTGTCTATAAATAGTATACAGTAGTTTTCGGCGGTTAACCATCCTGCCTGAATAGGAGAGTTGACATTGTAAACTGTAGAGTTACGGTAACTAACTGTGTTAGTGTGTATGTCGTAAACATGTAACTCAAACTGTTGAACAGTTATAATAATAAACTTTATAAGCATAATTTGTAGTTGAATAGTATTTGGGGCCCATGTTGATATAGACCCTAAAGTCTGGATTCGTCTGTATGTTGAGGACGGGATTAAAATATAAGCACTTTCTTTCTGTTGCGGTCTAGGCTAGGTCTATGAAAAATATAACGTGGCACGGAGTTGCCTCAATCATATTTTCTTGTTTTCAATTGTTTACTTTTGCTAAATCAATTTGTATACAACCGTCTATCAAGCGTTACAGTGACTAGGGTATGCGACCGTGGGTAGCAAACGTATCCAACTTCTTTCGTTGAGAGAACTTAAAATTATGGGTTTCGATTGGCCAGGACAGTCAGTATGGTAGAGACCAGTTACCTACCTGCCACAGGAGCTTGAACAAGATCAAGTTCACCTTGCGCGTTCAATGTTAAACTGCTAGTTTTGGAAGGAATAAATTCTGTTTTGCCATTCGTGTCCTTTCTACAGTCGTCATCTATAGAGCGCAAAGTAGCAAGTCTGATAGGTTGTGCGCAATCTGTGAAGGTGTACGTTCTTGAAAATGGTTCATGATAAGGTCTCTTGTCATTTATATCACTAGAAAAAGAATCAAAGGGACATGTTAATCTTAATACGTAGTCAAATTCTATAAGGTAACACCAATGCTTTACTTTGGTCATTTTGAGACCATCTATGTTTAATCAGTACGTTCGCTTCTTTTTTCCCTTATTGTGGATATAGAGAGGGGGGGGCATATGTCTAGTAGTTTAACGCGTGTGGGTGAAACCACATGGTCTTTCAGTAAAGGCGAAGACCAACGGTTTTCAACAAGGTTTCCACAAATCTTATATATATATTAATATATATTAAAATTTACACTGAACAAATAAAAAAGTTGGATTATACATTGTCTTAATTTAAAAATTACATGAATAGAAGTTAGAAATTACATGAATAGAAGTTAAAAATTACATGAACAGAAGTTAGAAGTTATACGAAAGAACGTTAGAATTTTGAATCTAATAGCCCGTTCAGACGCTTAAGTTGAACTAGTTTAAAAACCCCGGGGATCGTTAAACCAGTTTAACTTAAGCGTCTGAACGCAAATGTGGGGCAAATAAACCAGTTTAAAAACCCCTGCTCGCGACCTGTCTTCGAGAAGGCTTTTTTTTTTAAACTGGTTCATGAACGGGTTGGCTTAAAAACCCCAGCTCCAGCTTGCCAATGTTATCGAAAGCGTGCGAGAACCGAATAAAGAATGTGAAGCTACCCATGCGCAGTTAACTCTAACCTCCGACCGAAGAGGTCAGAATAGTTAAACTGGTTTGGCTTATAGTACGTGTGAACGCAACACGATGCTGTCTTAAAAACCCCAGCGATTATGAACTAGTTTAAAAATAAGCGTCTGAACGGGCTATTATATACCGCCATAAATTCACGCCATGTGGCCAATTGTTAATACATCGCGTGGTTTGTTTGACATCTTGCAAGCGACAAGTATTTCGTCTGCTTCGATGTTTTTGTGCTTGCTGACAGTGTTTTTCAACATAAACAGACCAAAATTATGGGAGACATATAATATAGTGCATTTTGGCACATATTGTCGAAGCGATATCATACATTTCGATACGTTGGTGTCTGACGTTGACATACTTTGGAAATTTATATTTTTATTTGAATATATATGTGCCACAAGTCCGTTGAAATAAATAAAAACACTGTCAACAGACTCAGCACGCACAAATATTTTCAAGCAGACGAAATATCTCTCACTTGCCGAGTGTCAAACAAACCACGTGATGTAAACACTTAGCCGCGTGGCGTGAATTGGTCCACAACGTACTCTTATTTATGAGTGAATGTACTCGTCGGATTTACGTATTAAACGTTAACACCCCCAACAATTCCATATTTATAATATCCAAATAAACAGTTCCTTTAGTCGGATTCTTATCCAAACGACGACGCGTGAACAAAATACAGCAGCAAACTTATGCCAAATCTGTACGCTTACTACAGAGACCAGTGAGCGTGTTGAACCAACTACATCACTTCTGCTCTGGTTATAATAAAAATTGATTTCTCGCTTACAAAAATTTTTTTGCATGTCTTACAGAGGGGATTATTTATCAATATATATTTAAGATTTATGGAAACCTTGTTGAAAATCGTTGATTTCCCCTTGGTTATATCTATTTCTTAAAGTCACCTCTAGTAAGAAACACACTAATGTGGCTCTCACTCGAGAGCCTCAGATTTATTCTTTTTTCTTCAGAAACAAAAATACCAGAAGCAAGACCATCAGCGCCACCAAAACAGTGAAATTACCTTTCTATATAAATCTAATGTATTGCATGTATTTTTATAAAACTAGGAAATATCACGACCTAATTTTTTAATCGTCCTATATCAGTGCTTATGTGGAGACTTAACCTCTCGCCCAAATTCTTAAACCTAACCCACAATCTCATAAACAACCATGTGCCCTAACCTTATTTAGATTTTAGCGACCTTGACGAAATATGGAGGTGGCCTTGGGAAATAGATCTAGCCGAGAATAATAGCAACTAGCCCTAAAAACAAGACGTCGAAACACATAAAATTAATATAGGAATTGCCATTTCAGAAAATCCATTTGCATTGCTAGTTCAATGTCAACACTCTTAATTTTATTTATTCTAAAATTTCTCTCTTCGTGGACCATATCTATGTCTTTTATTTAAATTAATCCATCGTCACGATTCATGTTTGATTATGGACTAAGACTAGTAATTATTTCCCCTTATTTCACGAATGTAGTGCTAGTTATAAATAGACAATTTTTCCCTTAATTTTTTTCTCCCCTCTTCCTGCATTTTTGGGTTGACTTTTTGGTCTAGAATTGGAGAAAAGGGATCAAATTTGCAATTTCATAGCAGTTTTGGGTAGTACTGATGATATTACAGCGGAGGGATAGGGGGTGTAAAGTGCCCTTCTGCAGAGCAATCATTGTGTCGGAAGTGAGATTTTCACCCCAGTCAACTTCAAATCCGCGTAGCAAAAAATCTAAATGGTCAACCCCCTACAAAATTATGACGAGATTGCCAAATGTTGTCCCCATTGTGCCTATAAAGATTGGAACCAACGGAATGTTCAGCAAAAAGCTACAGCCTGTGATGTTACAGCCATTTAACATTGAAGTCAATGGGCAAATAATTGCTAGTCTGAGTCCTTATAATAATGCATGAATTATGGAATTTATTTCCGGAAGGGACGTAACTCTTACTTGACTCGACGAAATTTACTAGATACTCATCCACATAAGAAACAAACTCCCGTTTTGTGAAATGTTGACAACAGACCCAGACCCTCCCGTACGTTGAAGACTGGGAAGTTCCGGGTGACCGAGACTAGTCGAGTCTGGTCGCCTGTCCAACCTAATGGTTTTTTCCAGGTTCTCTGGTTTCCTCCCACTGCTAGAAACCCCTACGCGCAAGTGAAATATTGAAATACAATTGAACCATATGTTAGTCCCAGAATGACCTAGTTTGTTTTTGTCTTGTGGAGAGTTTGCTTGAAACCTGAATCAGCCGTTCATGATCGCAACTAGACGAAACTCACTGTGTTGTTCTAGATGGAGTTGGTAATGTTTTTCTTGTCTTTCTTATTGCTTTTTGGGAGACGTTCTTTAATTAAAAAAAAGCCCGAGGCTCTGTAAATTTGAGTACGACCGACATGAAACTTGTCATGCTCGTTCTTTGACATGGCTCTAATTTTTAACAATGAGGTCACAATTTCAAGAAGGCTGCGATGGGGGTTGGGGTGGGGTGTTGGTGGCGGGGGTTTAGACTAAAGAAGGGTAATTTTAATTCTGTTTTAATACAGAAGTATAAACTGTAACACATACTTTTGTAAGAGCAATTACTAATTTATTTGGGCGGCGTTTCCAAGAGTATTGTTTGAAAACGTTGAGAGAAAATATATTCTTCGAAACGTCGCCCAAATAAAAAAGTAATTGTTCTAAATGCCTATGAAGGATACAAATATACATGGACGCTTACTTTAGTTTGATGGTGACTGGAACAACATTTGACATGTTCCCGTCCTTGTCTGTAACTCGTACCTCGAAATCAAACACATCCTTATCTGGAATACATTCAAAATTAAAGTATTCTGGGGTGAATATCTTTCCTGTAGCGGGTTCAATCCGGAAGTCGGGCTGTAATCTATCATCAACAAACGAGTAGGTATGTTTCTCATTAAAATCATCGTCTTTTATTTTATATTCCGGCTGAACTTGGACCTTAAAACAAAAATTAAATGGAAAATAGTTTAATACAGCTCACAAAATAACACAGACTGTATATATTGACAAGTTAATTATAATTTCCAACTTTCCTTAAACAAACTATGAAATAATGCAATAGAATGAATGGATTACACGGGGTTTAAAATCCTACTTGTCTGATCCAACTTGGCTCATGAAGACGAACATAGTCATACAGTATTCTAGTAGTGAAATTGTCCGAACAGCAATTGAATTCCAACTGTATTAACAAATAGCCCAAAACACAACGTAAAGTTTATGGAGGGGAGGGGCTGGATTAATAAAACAAACGCATATGTTACAATAGGGCGTGAAGCCGCTCCCCACCCAAATTTGAAACATAGAATGGATTTGGCACATTCTGAGGTATATTGTGGGCGAGGAACACAAGTTAAATAAAATAGTTATATTGCTCATTTCAAACTTCAATCAAGGTACGATCCCAGTCAAGTCTTTTTAAAGACAACCACTAGTAAATGAATAATCGCACATTTCCTGACGAACTGGTGGCACTATAAACATAATATATGTCTACCAGCGGGCAGCCTAAAATGTGGAGACCCTCCACAGATCCAAGATCTGGTCCGAATATAGCATACAAATTGGAAAATAACGTCTCGGGTACGCCGATATAGAGATCCAGAGTAATAACTCTAAAAATGATTATCGGGAATCCATTAAAATTTATAGGTTCTCGTGTGTCATGAACATAAAAGGTCAGAAACTTTAAACAGCATGACCATAGCTTTCATACGGAGCCCCTTAAGTGCACGATTCCACTCTTATATAATTTTTTCGTGCATAATTTTATAAGAGTGGAATCGTGCACTTAAGGGGCTCCGTACTTTCACATTATCTATACACGGAACTGTGTACGGCGTCACAAAACACTATTCAAAGTCCTTGACAAAAGAAATCGTTTTTGCCTACCCATCCTTCGTCTGTAGTATACTCCTTTTTGTCTAGCTCTAACACAGGTTTCTCTGGGACATCACTCCATTGGACGTATATCCACCTTGGTTCAGAAGGACAATTACCATTGTCAAACACTAAGGATATATTAACAGGTGGATCATTCTCAAAATCAAATGTTTCACCTGTTCTCGTTACTATCCTGGCTGGAAAAAAGAAAGTACGTGCATCTAGATGATAATGAGATTGAACAGGAACTTATCGTGTAGCAGTAGCTTGGTAATAAGCTTGGCAAGAAAGAACGCATCGTGTAGTCCTAGATGGCAATAATCTTGAAAAAAAAAGAACGTATCGTGTTGCACGAGCATTGTAATTAACTGTTGAAAAGAACGTATCGTGTAGCTCGGGCATAGTAATATGCAGACAAAATAGCACGAGCATTGTTATAAGCTGACAAAACAAAAGTATCGTCTACCACGACCATGGTTATAAGCTGACCAAAGAACGTATCATATATCACATAATCAGCCGACAACAGAAAGTACTAAATAGCATAAGATAGACAATGTATCCCTTAAGGTAAAGATAGCACGAGCATGGTAGTAAACAATCTGATAAACAGATCCATCAGAGCTAGCTACCATTTACTTTTGGAATGTTATATTAGTTACGTATGGTAGTAAGCTGACAAAAGAAAGTGCTGAACACCGAAAGCATGGCCATTTGTCACCTGTGCCCTTTAAGCTAAAGACCAAACAAGTTTATATATTGCTTAAGCGGCACTTAGTAACCGAATGAATTAATACATGACACAATTATGTAATTAGAAGTTTATTTCTAGCGACGTTTAGATGAGAGTTCTCTCGTCTTCATCAAACAAAATGATATATAATTTGAAAATAGAGACTTACTCGGAGAACCAGTGGGGCAATGTGTGGTAGTATCTAGACGTTCTAGATATCTAGCCGGATCTATAGTCACGACACATGTACCCCCTGCTGCCAGACCATCTGTTATGGGTAATTCTACAAGACTGTTCTCTGGTAATACTATGCTTCTATTCCAGTCCGTAAGCACACGTTTAACATTAGAGCCTAAAGAAATTTAAAACCATATAAATGTTGTGACGTCTTGAAACAAATTTGAAAATTTAAAAACAAATTTAGTCTCTGCGAATATTAGTCTGGACGCGTTGACAACATTTGAGAATAACAAGTCATTGGCTAGATGATCCCGGTCTTTTACATTATCATAAGGCCACAGATCACCAGTGATTTCCCCATTGACTTTAATATTAATTCTCGTCTCTTAGACCGGCTCTAACTTTTCCCCAAATGTTCGTTGGGTAGAACGCGTTCTACCACAGATGGAGCAACATGTGGCAACCTTTTGCCCAAAAGCACGTACGAGGTTCATCGAAAGTAGAGACAAGTAAACATGCAATTCTCCGCTCTACTTTTGAATCTAACTAACCTCTTTACTGTTGTATCCTTCCGCTCAAAATCTCAAACCCTTTTCTCCAATTCTATACCAAAATGTCAACACAGATCGTCATGCAAAAGGGTGAAAAAGAGAAAGGGGGAGAAAGACTAAAAATAGCATAATTGGTGAGCTGTGTCCATAAACAAAGTCTATATGGGTAACTAGTCCTAAAACAAGATGTTGACACCTATGAAAATCCATTTGATTGCATTGCCAGTTCGATTTCCAACCCTCTTAATTTTTCTTATTGTTTATATTAATGCTATATCGTGGGAAGGGGCGCAACCCTTACTTGACTTGTTCAAAGATACTGGATAATCAACCACATGCAAAACCAAACTCTCTGTAACGCATGGGCAATAAAACTTTGCGTCAAATATTGACAACGGTCCCAGAACCCCGGACGTTGAAGACTAGGAGGTTCTGGGTTACCGAGCCTTAAACAAATTGTGTCCTTTCATTGAATGTGGCATTAGCTTGTTTCACTATTCACTGCATTACCGACCCTTGTCGTAAGAGGGACGTGTCCCAACTGTTACTTTGTCGGTAACACTTGTAGAGCGGGACCCCAGGGGAATCAACCTAGCTGAAAAGTGTACCAATTTTCTCCTATGGTATCAGTTCATGTATATCTGGTATCATCAGAATGTAAGTCTGTCGATATTGCTGACGAATATGCAGGGTATTACGTCAAGGGTTTGATAAGATGTGGGTTAAAGCGAGATCAACCCTCGTTTGGAGTTGTGGCCAACCAGGCATCATTATTCGTATCTGTTTAACCACAGACAATCGAAAGAACCCCCCCGATTCCATTATGTACACTAAATGTTATAATTCTCAGGTACCGTGTTTTTAAGTGCTATGAATCTATATAAATGATTTGACAACCTAAATAGCAACATACATAGAAAAATAATTATGCTCTGACTTTCTTAGAAAATATGAAATTATCGCATTAAAATGAGCTAAATTCTAGACTAACCTGGATCCATTGTTATAGTTCTTGTAACTGCTGGGTTGTAAGGATCGGACATAGTAACAGTTACATCCTCGGGTTCACAAAATGTATTCATATTTTTCTTGGCTGTTATCACACCATTGTCTAAAGACGAAAACAGGTGTTATAGTACATGAACTAAATACCAAGGGATCAACTAAATCGAATGATAATTATTTTGGATGAACGATTTTGACTTTGTTTAATGATATTTACATATTCTGTTATATAAAAAAGGGACCCATTTCCCTGCGTTTAGTCCCCCCCCCCCCCCAACTTATTATTTACGGAAATAACACATAAAGCCTACTATCAATAGAGAAGAATCCATTATCTGGTCGTTCTGTAATGGTAAATGTTAGTGTGTCACTCTCTGGGTCCATTGGTTTCAGATCAAGAACTTCACCATTAGTTTGGGTAAATGTTGTAATAGTGTGACGTGCTGAAATAGAAATAAGAAGTTAATTTGTAATAATAGTGTGACTATAATAATTATACTTGAAATGGATAATTATTCAATTGAGATTGATATTGAACTTCTGTGGAGGTGTAGCTGCAGCTACTTGACAAGAGTAACCACCAAAAGACTTAAACGCCACTGCATCTTCAATAATAAAGTTAACGAATGGAGCAGATATTTTTGGGGTGAAATTAATTCGTTTTACATAGATTATTTAAATGAAATATAGTATTGAACGTTGAACTGAAAATAAATTGTTATGATAACGTGGTATGATAACATTTTTGATTGAAAGCAAATGTTTGGTTATTTTGGTGACTTGTGGACCCACAATAAATCTCGTCGTTTTATTTCTTATATCTATAAAAGGGATAAATAAAAGACAACTGTGCAGAAGTATGATGCTTATTAAGAGGGGTTTTATAAAGTGTACATGGTACACAGCAAAGTCTGGACATGAATCTAATGACTTTAATGCAGTACCGTTTAGACCAAAGTCAGCCGATCCTATCCTAGAATGCCAACCATTCAATGTCCTTCATTTACTATAATACATCTAAAGTATAGATTTGAATTTTATTTTGAAATATAGATATTAATCCGTGTATTTATTTGAGTACAATGACTTTCCCTGAGGTTTCATAATTCACAGTGAGCTTCAATTGAAATGTGGATTTAACTTGTCTGCACCAACCGATCTAATGAATCTGATGAAACATGGCGAGTAGAGTGTTTGAGTCATAAGGGTGTATTTGTCGGTGTCACAGTTGGTTGTGCCTTTAGTATTCGAAAAAGTATTCGAAAAGATATTCGAAAGGTGTAATCTTGAAAGGAACACAAAAAGCATATCTCTGTATCATAACTTACTTCTTGCGTCTTGAAATCGTGGCGGGAAATTTGGAATTACTGCGAGACTGATGACCACTGCGGTTCCAGTATCGCGACATGTCGCTGTGATCTGATAATTTCTAGATTTATCAAAATCTAATCGTAAATTATTCCTTGGTGCGTAAAACAAATTATAGGTACCACCACCTGAGAAAAAAATAATAAATAAAATAAGACATTTAATCAGTTAGAAGTAGAGGTATAATATTCATAATAACACAACTTTATGGATTTACTACTTCTTGGTTTATTACATGCAACGTTTTAATAAACCCAGAAAAAGTAAATCCATAAAAATGTGTTATTATGAATAAAATAAAATATATTTGTGAAAGACCAGTAACACGATTTTTAAGTTGAGAACAAGTCTGTGCGTTGTCGAGTTACAACAACGCCATTAGGAATAATTGCCAATGAAATTAAATAAGAAAAATAATCATGTTTGTATGATATAATTACCTACCGACAGGTAATGCTCCAAAACACCCATTACATGTAGACGGGACTGCTGTTACGTCCAAGGCACTGGCACAAGCTATAGGCTGCGCAGGAAATGTGTTTAAGCCCTCTGCTGATTCAGGCAAAGACCATTGGGCTTTTATTGTTATTATGTTCTGTTTAAAAATAAACATCCTCATTAAGTAAAGCAGTCAAAAAATAAATAACCCAAAGGGAAACGTTGCTTGTTCTTTATAGACATTTCACATCACGGTCTATTACTATTAAAACTAAATATAAAGATTGTTTTGCAAATATATCGCATTATAATTACCCCCTTAAAATGCTAACATGCCTGAATAAAACCAAACATATTATACTTTTAGACCACACCCTTTTTAAAAGACAATATTTTGATCAGAGTCGATCAATACATAATTATATAAGTTATGGCCATTTTGTATGTTTAGATAACTAAATGTAAAGATATTCAGTCGTTTTCAAATATTATAATTACCCCTTAAAACTCCAACAAACCCGAATAAAGCTAAAGTTTAAGACCATACTTTTTAGAAAAGAAAATATTTTTTATCCAAGTCGACCGATACATGCTTAATTATATCAGTTTTTGTCCATTTTATGTGCTTAGATAAATAGTGATATAATAACAATCATAAACACCGGCCCATACTTCACGAAAGTTTTTATAAAGTCGTAGATATTTCTTGGAATACGCTAATAATTGCGGACTGTAGTTTTTAGGGGTCTAGTGATAGTGAAACTACGTTACTGTACTTGACTTCCTAAGCAGACAAAACAAGTTTTCCCCAGTTTTTCATGGCAAAATTAAATTGAAACGATACTTCCTGGGGCCAAAATGAGTCTTTATTCTTATTCGACGTTATAAGTTGCTCTTAAATGACAAATATGACTCCTATTTGTTATTTTAGAGCAACTTATAACGTAGAACATTATATGAGATATGAAAGGCCCAAGTCTTTCAGAAGTAACTTTTTAATCTAATTGTCAAAGCCCAATATTTCAAGGGGGGTGGATGGCTGAATGGTTAGCGTGCGCGCGCTGTATCATAAAGTCTGCCATTGAGTCGACCGGCGTGGTTTCGAATCCCCGGTGGAACGTGGCAAGGAGTAGGGTCGCCTGTCCAACCTCGTGGGTTTTCTCCGGGTCCTCCGGTTTCCTCCCACTGCTAAAGACCCCTACGCGCAAGCGAATTATGTAAATAAAATTAAACCATATGTTAGTCCCGAAATGACCTAGTTTGTGTCGAGTGGACGTTAAACCCCATTTCTCTCTCTCCCCCCCAATATTTCAATTGAGAAGCGGAATAACCTTTTTGTTCTCATTTGGAAACAAAATAAGTTTAGTACAGTATGATGTAGATAGGTCATTTAGAAATTATTTTAAAATCAACGTGAAAAGTCAACACTTTTGATAATAGCCATTAAAACTCCATCATCGCACAGATTTCAAGTGTCAAATAAAAAAATAAGCCATAAAATACACAAGATGGACATCAGTGTATGTTACAGTTCTACTTCTATTAAAATGTGAGTTTAAAGCACTCGAAAACCTAAAAATAATTACTGAATTTATGATCCGTCTCTGTACCCTAATTTCAAATGGCCATATCTCAGAAAGATTTTGACCCAGAGAGTTATACTTACGGATATCTTTTTATAATTTTTGGGGAGAGGGTCATGTTCCCAATTTTCTGAAATTTGATCCACTTAACATGGAATGACCTAAATTATATTTTGTTTTACCCACTAGAAAGACCTTCAAAACCTTACACCCTCTTTGAAAATAGTATTTGTATATATTAGATGGTATTTATGAACAATTTTTATCTAAACATGAAATCATCATAACTAATTGTCTGAGATGATTTAAAAAAAACAAAAACAAAGCATCCCCAAGATTATTAAAACAATGAACAGAAGCTAATTTACAAATAAATAAACTGACAAATAAATAAAAACAACTGAATCCAGCTAAGAGTTTCCTTTCTGTACAAATATGTAAACAAGTTACAAAATAGTTAATTTGAATGGTCACATTACTTACCAAGAGGAACATAAAACTAACAAGAAAATGTTTAAACATTTTCTGTGTTTTTAACATATCCAATTCTGTAAAATTTAAACACGTAATTCTGTCACATATTTGTCAATCCAGTACAAAACTACTCTGTTAATACGCTGAAAAATTGTTTAGTATTAAACGCATCGTTAGTTTATTGGGTTGCGACACAGTATGGCAATATAAGCTTATAAAAAGAATATATTATTTTATTGTTACACCGCCAGTCAATACCTCAATATTTCATACAATATAAAGAATTGCTAAATAGACACTCGGTTGTTTGGATCTGCATACGTGAAAAAATTCACTCACAATAAAACCTAGGTAACGTGAAAGGAATTTGCTGAAATTTTCAGTCAAATAGATTCACTCTGAACCGATTTAGCCATCGAATTTTGGGCCTAGCCTCGATCATCATTACTAAAGTCGGTACAATAAAAAAACATAGTCTCAATTATCCATTTTTTTGATTTAATCATGAATGAACGTTGAGCAGCACATCGGATTATAATCCAGTAAATATCGCAGCCTAGCGATGACATCGAGAGTGGATTATGGTCTGGATTAGTTAATAATTTAGATAACATTTCAGGCATAAAGAAAGACCTGCAAATGGCATTATAGTTTGTTATTTTAACATCAAAGCAAAACTATCAATGAATATTTGTTATGTTTGGAAATTACATTAAGTTTAACACTTGCTTGTGCGATGCATTACGATAGTATTGTCCCTATTGAGTCCACGATCCGGTTAGTACAAATACGTTCGGATATGTTTCGATACGACCAACGCGATTGCTATGACTGACTACAATATATGATAAGACCACGGTTACTCCACGATTAAAACCACAATTTCGATCGTAGCGCGAATTTTGATAGTGAGAACCTAGCATTAACTATATAATACCCCCGTCAGGCCGGCGTGGCGTCCTTACTGTGCTGCTACGGCGACAAAAATTGGTCTCAGAGCGCGTTAGATCGTCATAAGCGTGGTGGAAACGCCAGATATCATGCTGTGCAGCTGTGGTCTCCATGGTGGCCAATGATCGTCGAGTCACGGCATTTGTTTTGAGCATGTTCAAAGCAAACGCCAAGGTTCTGCGATCTTACCTGGAAAGCTGTGACAAGCGTGGTATCATCTTCTGAACGTAGTACACGCGCAATACACACGTGGCAAATACGCTGCCACTGCGTTTATAGAGTTCGTAATACGACCATGGCGCGGTTACCAAGCTTGCATTACGCTCTATGGCGACTTTCTATAAAAAAACAGGCAACTTATATAGCCGCCGTGATCACGTGGTAGAAACGCACGTGCATTCGCGATACACGCAGAAGACGTGTCGTGTTGTAAGAACCCCATGTGTGTGGTTGGGGCGCCGCGGGTTCGCCGATGATCGCCATTGCCAAGCCAATAGATCTTAATAGAAACGCCATAAGTGCGGAGAGGTCGTGACAGGCGCGCCGTGAGCATGCGGTATAATCGCACGGGTCGCGGTAAGAACGCGACTTTTTTCAAGTTTGTAATTTTTTGAGACATCTTCTCGTGTTGTGTTCACGTTTGCCGGAGACCTTGTGCTTTTACCACGGTTATGGCGATATTGGCGTGCTCTGAGAACCATTTTCTGTCGCCGTAGCATCGCGGTCTGTTGGGGTATACGGACGCCACCCCGGTCTGACCGGAGCTTAAGATGAATTTTTACTTTTTAATTATTTTTTTCTTTCTATCTATCTATATAAATTACTTTTTAATATTTTTTTTTTGGGAGGGGGGAGGCGGGTTAATCGGTATAAATTGACTATTTGTCGCCGTTAACCTACCTTACAGAAACATTTACCCCACAACATAAATTTCTTTCAATTGTTTCATTTTGGCAAATATGACACAATAGTCCAATATGTTTTGGTGTGCATATATATATATTCCTTAGTGATAGAAAATGTGAGGTGTGTTTATCTTTGGATTAATTTTATGAATGGATTTAATAAGGTAATTTATTAAATATATTATGGCCAAAACTTATTCAATTCGACCAAAATTTGTTTTTCTCTAATGTTCGTAGTGCCGTCGATAACATTTTACACCCATCTTGTTGTATTCATAATGTTAATTATTGTACAGGTTTAATGTTGGCTTACTCCAATTTAATCTGATAAAAGGACACGGTGAACACATCTTCAATAGAAGGCTTGATCTCGCTTTAACTCCGTACATCTGATCAAGCCCTTCATGTAATACCCTGCATATTTCCTCACTAATTTCAATTCGTACTGACCCAACTTGGGACCCCATCTAATTACTCGATTATCGCGAATTCCAAGCTTCGCGATTTCCTGTTAGAATTTATCAAAATGTCTACCTATGATAATCGAGTTGCGAAGTTCAAGTTTCGTTCAATGTCAAAGTTCAAGGTCGCCATGTTCGATCTGAGTGTGTTTTTGTCACAACCTCTGATTGGTCGCTACTGTTCACGTGTCTGTAGTAAAGGCAGATAACGTAGCTATAAGTGCAGGAATTGTAAAGCAGTGTAGCGACGTCTAGATGTTGTAAAACGTGCGCACCGTAGCATGAGACCTGTCATTGAGTCAACTGGCGTGGTTTCGAATCCCCGGTTGTACGTGACAAGGAGTAGGATCGCCTGTCCAACCTCGTGGGTTTTCTCCGGGTCCCCCGATTTCCTCCCACTGCTAAAGATTCCTACGCGTAAGCGAATTATTGAAATAAAAAATCAAAACCATGTTAGTCCCGAAATGACCTAGTGTGTGTCGAGTGGGCGTTAAACCCCATTTTTTTTCTCTCTCTCTCTCTCTCTCTCTCTCTGATGCGCACTTTAAGTTCTGTAAGCCTTTCCCTTTAGTTATGTTGATACAATAGCTTGTTTTTATTATTTGTCTACCAACCATTGTATCAGATATATCCCGGGTAACCGATAATAGCATAGATCTATCTATATAGAAATATATTTAATATTAGGTATAGCGTAGTTCTGTTAACGTTTTATTACGCGATGCAAAGAAAACTGTCAAGCAGTCTATAAACTAAATAAACAGAACACAGACACATAACTTTTGTATTTGGACAATGATCGTAGGACTGGTTTCAGCTAGGCAATGTATAATGGGCCGATCTAGGTGAAAAATTCCCGCACCGATACTGCACCCACAGTATGTAGAGAGGACAACGGTATTGTCTTATGAATGAATTGGTTTTATAAGGATGCGCTGTAAAGAATGTCTGTTTTTTAAATCCCACTTTTTGGTATTTGAAGGAAACTATCCGATTTATTACAGAAATATCTGTGATTTGAGATGTATTTTAACCATAAAATCTATTGTTTTAGTCGCATTTCTGTCTTTGTACAAGAACGTCGATATCTTTTACATATAAACTGTTTATTAACAATATAAATTGTATTAGTAATAAAACTACCTGTAATATTCTAGAATAACTTGTATATTAACGGCACTGTTCTGCTAATTCACAAAGTTATACTGTTGGATTCAGTTAACGTAGAAAAAAAGAAAGAGGGAAATCAACGATAAGATATGAAGGTAAGTCTTCCTAATAATATGTGTGAAGGAAAATCAAAGCATTATTAGATACTACGTATAATGTTATTGGATTTAAAGACACGGCCTTTGTGCTGTCTGTTCAGTTCGTTGCTTTTTTATGTTTGGAATCTATGATCAATACACTATATAGCGACCATACAGATGTATAATGTATTATAATGCAAACAATATTAATGTGTAAGAGACGCGATGGCTCAGTGAATTTGATGTCGACTTATTGACCATTAGCCAAGAGAGCTACACATGCTTGTTTTGTAACTTATTCTTCCCTGTCAATGGTGCAGGTTGGAATTTGTTCAGTTTGGACTAACAATTGGGGCCCTATGTGCTTTTGACAGTACATGGCCGTAAGCCCTAAACATTTATCTCCACCGCCGATAGGATACCCCATCATATATGCACTTAAGTGAACACCTTTTAATTTAACTTTGTTTCAAGTTTGTATTGAAAATAGAAAAATTTACAAGAAGAAGCGATGTAACTTTTCTTGCTGTTAATTTTTAATATGTATATAAATTCATGACTGAAAAGTTACATTTACAGAAAATAAATTATTTTTTTACAGATGATTTGGTTTATATTTAACCAAAATAATTATGTTATAAAGAACAGAAACTATTCTGGCAGCAGATTTACCAGATGTTTATCCTGTAATTTTACCTGTTTGTAAACAGAAACATGCTAATATGACTTAAGAGAAATTGTCTGGTAAAACAATAGAATAAAAATATGGTAAATTTGCTGCCAGAATTTTTTTTTGTTTTTTTTGTTTTTTTTCTTGTTTTTTTTTTGTTTTATTTATTTTTTTTTTTACAGAATTATTGTTTACAGTGTGCCACGGTGACTGAGTGTGTCATGCTCTCTCACTAACCAGAAGGGCCTTTTGTTCAGAAAGTATCTCGAGATTTTCCAGGTAGTTTCCCCTTGCCAGAGGTGTAGAACCGATGATCTGGCAAGGAACGGCGTCACGTCGTTCGGATTGGACGAACAAAGTTCTGAATACACGTTGGCGTTCACGTAAAATAACTATTGGAATTGACGGTAAATCCCGTTTCATTCCATTTAATAAAGTTTATATTCCATACGGAGGCGATCATAATTTTACCCAAGACTGATTTATATAAGCTTCTTTAACGTGCATATGGGTAATCTAGTACATATTTGCATTCATAGAGTGCATTTCTTTCGTCTGACAATCCCTTTATTTAAAACGTCATATTAAAATGATTGACAGGTTATTGACGTGCCCTTTAACACATATTCAAATTATTATAATTCTAACGTATGTTTACTAATAACTGTATATTAAGAATATAAATTAGTCATGCTGTAGCAGTGTGGGGGGTGGACAAATTTGGCCTTCAGAACATGTTTTAACTGATATTTTAGTACTGTAAACATTTCTATGTGGTTCTTCCTTTCAACTCCAACTTTCAACTTTTATTAGGAATAAAATCTTATAGTGCACAGTCACATTTTCCATATTGCGATTTGTAATCGATGTGGCAGAAACAGCAGAAGTATTATAGACACTTTCAAGATAAATACTAAGCAGCAAAAGAAACGTCAGGTTGGTATGTTACTCTGAATAGACGCATTGCATAAAACTTGCCAAATGTTTCCATTGTATATTTGTTACCACATCTCAAACTTTACCTGAGCAATAGGCCTCTTCCCGAGCACAGAATTGGACTCAGGAAATGTTCTCAAAAAGGCAACCTGACTTCTGTATGGTGGCTGATAGTGGCCATGTTAAATCTCGCCCTTTTCATAACGCGACAACACGACATCACGACAGTATTGGCGCAATCATACGACACTTAACTCTGTCGTATCATCGTGTTATTTTTATCCTAACGTCGAGATGTCGACTTATTGGCATAGTCTCTTTCTACAAGTCACAAAAATACAGCTGTACTCATTACACTCATTACATCAGATTAGATACAATAAGACTCGTCAAAAGAGATAATAGGAAAGTGTTGATTAATTATTCGTTTTCTCAAAATAATGAAACATTTTGCGCCCAAAATTGAATTATTGGTATTATATTCAAAAAATCTAGAATTATAATAGCAGGACAAAAGTGAGTCAGCTATGTTAATTCCTTGAATAAGAAGTGGTGTCGGTAGGTATCGAACAAGCATGCATTGCCTCGTGTACGACACCCACCAATACTTATAGATTACTGAAGCGATAGTTTAGAAGCGATTTCAGAAGATTTCCAATTTATTTTATTAGAGTGGGAAGGGGATTATATAAAACCTCAAATCAGATCACAGAAAATCACTGCATTGGTGTAGCACGCCATCCCAATAAGTGCAGGGGAGGTTTTTTATGAGGTGAAGAAAGCGATTTGCAGCTGTTATTGACCTTATCGCGTATTCATCCGTTTGGCATCACTAATGGGATCGGGGCCTAGATGATTAAAAATAGGCCCAGTATTGCCTTCAGCTATGAACACACTCCGAAAGTCCCCTACGCACCCCCCCCCTTCTTTTTTTGTTTAACAAATAATTTCGGAATCAATAAAATGGCAGGTCCCTATCAATGATGTTTGATACGACTGGAAATTAATGTGTCTAAAATTGATTAAACAACATAGGGTAGTAAATATTACATTTTGAATCCGTATCAATGATACATTTACTCAAAATGTTCCTTCTAATGGATCACCATTTAACTTGAAAACAAGGGAAGCAGCCGATCGAAGAAAAAAAGATTTTAAAAAACAAGTTTCAATATGACAGTCGTGGTTCGGTCATGCATTTACATCCGTGGGTGTCATCCTTTCTTTGAAAGTAATGATTGTGCTAAATTTGAACAAAATCCATCTAGATTCGCGGCCTGTAGGTAAAGTGTTGACAGATAAAACGTAAAAAAAAACCCAGACCTATAAAAATATATTTTCTAAAACTATTTTAATTTTGAAATTGTATTATTTTGACATGTGCCAAGTGTTTTAGCGAATAGTTATAGAAAGGGTCTTGTCGATTAAGACTATAGCGCATGTGCAATGTGCAGTTTTAAACTTCCGAGACGACAAGTCGACAAGTCGATGATACGACAGTTTCGCTTTTTGTCGTGCCGTCGTATCATCGACTTGTTGTGGCGATAAGTCGATGATACGACGGCACGACAAAATTGGGTCGATGACACGACAAAATCACGCGATCTTACGACAGTTTGTTCTGTCGTAAGATCGCGTGATTTTGTCGTAAGATCGTGTGATTTTGTCGTGTCGTCGTATCATCGACTTACAGTGGCGATAAGTCGATGATACGACGGCACGACAAAATCACACGATCTTACGATAAAATCGGGCGATCTTACGACAGAACAAACTGTCGTAAGATCGTCTGATTTTGTCGTATCATCGACTTTATTTTGTCGTGCTGTCGTATCATCGACTTATCGCCACGACAAGTCGATGATACGACGGTACGACAAAACGCTAAACTGTCGTATCATCGACTTGTCGACTTGTCGTCTCGGAAGTTTAAAACTGCACATGCGCTATAGTCTTTATCTACAAGACTCTTCTATAAATAAAAAAACAAAACTGACACAGTTATATGGGACAACAATCACTGTTTTATTATACACAAGCACAACGTTTCGATAAGTATACTCTTATCGTTATCAAGCACAATGATAACGATAAGAGAATACTTATCGAAACGTTGTGCTTGTGTATAATAAAACAGTGATTGTTGTCCCATATAACTGTGTCAGTTTTGTTATGTTTCCAATTGCTAAATGCCAATAAAAGATTATATTACCTTCTATAAATATTCGCTAAAACACTTAGCACATGTGAAAACAATATAATTTCAAAATTAAAAGAGTTTAAGAAAATATATTTTTATAGGTCTGGGGTTTTTGTTTGTTTTTTTTTACATTTGATCTGTCAACACTCTACCTACAGGCCGCGAATCTAGATGGAATTTGTTCAAATTTGGCACAATCATTACTTTCAAAGAAAGGGGGGCACTCTCGGAGGTAAATGCATGACCGAAGCACTACTGTCACATTCTTCGATCGACTGTTACCCTTGTTTCAAGTTAAATGATGATCTATTGGAAAGAACGTATTGAGTAAATCTACGCTATCACTAATACGGATTCAATATGTAATATTTCTCATTACTACCTATGTTGTTTAATCAATGTTATACATGTTATTTTCCAGTCGTATCAAACATCATTGATACCATTTTATTGATTCTGAAATTATTTGTAAAACAAAATAAGAGACGTGGGGGAGGGGGGGGGGCGTATGAGGCTTTCATAGTGTGTAATCATCTAGGCCTCGATCCATTGTTTTTGGTGCTTGATATTTTGCGGGGGAGTCGCCGTGTCTAGGCAGGTAAGACGTTGGTTCTGTAACCCGAAAGCTGGGTGTTCGATCCCTTCATTGGACGAGAAAGTTCATCCAGAATTTCCGACGAGGTCTTGTCAGTTGTGCTGGACAGAGGGCCTGGCACGTAAAATATCCCTTGGTAGTTGGAATTCGATATAATGGTAGGCCATAGTGCGCTGTCCTGGCAAAATTTCGCTCATAGTATGGCGTATGCCCGTCTTCAATATGACAGTAGTGGTTCGGTCATGTATTTACACCCGAGAGTATCATCCTTTCAGAGGATCGCGTGGCTACATGGGCAAGACGCTGGCTAGCTAGCCTGGAGGTCGGGCGTCGATCCCACACTGATCAGAAGTGAATATTCGCTAGGCCTCTGATAAGGATGACATCGATGCGACTTAATGAGTCCCCAATATTAACATTATTCCTCCGACAAATTTAATTCTAAAACATTTTTTTTTATGTATTAGAAAAATAAATAAAGACATTTGGAGTATTTGTAGGTAAAAAATATTTCCTATGTAGCGTAAATGGGTATTAAAATGAGTAAAAGGCATCATTCTACCCGAAGCAGTTACGTCTTATATAAACAATGCACGCGCCATTGGTCCAATGATTGACACCGCGTGACGTGATTGCATGTGTTGAAAACAGTCATCTTTTACAGAGATATTAGACGACTTTTTTCAAAGATTGGTTCGATCCCTGCATTGGCCGACAAAATTCATCAAGATTTACCGGCGTGGTTCCCCCTTGTCAGTGATGCAGGACGGAGGGCCTGACAATGACAGCTGTCTAATCGTTCGGATGGGACGAAACACCGAGGTCCCGTGTACACATTGGCGTGCACGTAAAAGATCCCTTGGCAGTTGGATTTCGATATAAGAGCGGGCCGTAGCGCCGCTTCCCCGGCAAAATTCCCTCATAGCACACTGTATGGCGTATGCCCGTCGTCTTTAGCCCAGCTTAGGAGAGAACAGTAGGACGTTAAACCCCATTTCATTTCATTTCGTGCCATCCTGTCTTTGAATGTAATGATTATGCCAAATTTGAACATTTAGTTCCGCAGTCTGTAGTTATACCAGAGGGTTGACAGATAACACCTTAAATAAAACAGATCTATGAAAATATATTTTCTAAACCTTTTTTAATTTTGAAATTATATTGTTTTTACGTGTGATAAGTGTTTTAGCGAATAGTTGTAGAAAGGGTCTTGTAGATTAAGACTATGGCGCATGTGCAGTTTTAAACTTCCGAGACGACAAGTCGACAAGTCGATGATACGACAGTTTGGTTTTGTCGTATCATCGACTTGTCGACTTGTCGTCTCGGAAGTTTGAAACTGCACATGCGCTATAGTCTTAATCTACAAGACCCTTTCTGTAACTACATGTATTCGCTGAAACACTTAGCACACGCGAAAACAATATTATTTCAAAATTAAAAGAGTTTTAGAAATATATTTTTATAGGTCTGGTTTTTTCTTTGTTTTTTTTTACGTTTGATCTGTCAACACTCTACATATAGGCCGCGAATGTAAACTGACTTTGTTCAAATTTGGCACAATCATTACTTTCAAAGAAAGCATGACACTCTCGAATGTAAATGCATGACCGAATCACTACTGTCATATTGAAATGTGTGTGTTTTTAAATCTTTTTCTTCGATCGCTGCTTTCCTTGTTTCATGTTAAATGATGATCCATTGGAAGGAACATATTGAGTAAATGTACGTTATCACTGATACGGATTCAATATGTAATAATATTTCTCATGTTTAATCAATTTTTGACATATTATTTTCCAGTTGTATCAAACATCATTGATACCATTTTATTGATTCTGGAATTATTTGTAAAACTAAATAAGAGACGTGGGGGTGGGGGGGGGTATGAGGCTTTTAGAGTGTGTTCATAGTTGAAGATATTACTGGGCCTATTTTTACTCATCTAGGCCCCAATCCCAATAGTGATGTCAAACGGATGCAAGCCTATATGCGATAAGGTCAATAACGGCTGCGAATCGTTTTCTCCACCTCATAAAAAAAACTCCTGCATCTATTTGGGTGACGTGGGGGGGGGGGGGGTATGAGGATTTTAGAGTGTGTTCATAGTTGAAGATATTACTGGGCCTATTTTTACTCATCTAGGCCTCAATCCCATTAGTGATGTCAAATGGGAGAGAGAGAGAGAGAGAGAGAGAGAGA